TATTTCTTTCAGTTTTCGTTTAGTGCTCATGGGTGTGTAGCGTCTGTAAACGTGTACATAAAATACGGAGATGTGGTATGATTGCTAATGAGATAACTATCGAACAGAATCAATAACGTAGATGTAAACAATTATAGGTCACCGTACGTCTTGTAGTGTCTTTATCAATTTGGAAAAAAGATGATGAAAACTTCAAATTTGCTCCTTCTAAGGTCAAAATAAAGCTGTTTTGGGTGTTAGGATTTTCTTCGCTTTTATGCTCATTCTTCTTTTACCTATTCTGACATCGGACTCGGACTTCTTTTAAACTGAATTTTACTGTGCGTAATGCTGTGTGTTTGTTTATTCTACATTAGCTAGATGTATAGGGGGAGGGTTGAGATCTCACAAAACATGTTTAACCTCGCCACATTTTTGCGCCTGTCCCAAGTCAGGAGCCTCTGGCCTTTGTTGTATGATATTTTTAAATTTTAGTTCATTTATATGTTTCGGAGTTTAGTGTGACGTCCATTTTCACTGAACTAGTATACATTTTTGTTTAGGGGCCAGCTGAAGCCCGCCTCCGGGTGCAGGATTTTCTCGCTGTGTTGGAGACCCATTGGTGGCCTTTGGGCTGTTTTCGGCTGTTTGGTCGGGTTGATGTCTCTTTGACACATTCGCCACTAACATTGTCAATTTTATTTACATGTTTTTATTCATCTTAAGCGTTTCTCAAAAAGATATTAACAATCAATCAAGTTGATGTACAATGTATTAACGATACAATAGAAAACATGATATCTTACCACTAATCAAATGTTGAAACATTACTATAGGTCTTAAACACGGGCTTCTCAAACTTATGAAATGAAAGTTTTCATGCATTATGTTATTGTATCACTGTTTGTACTATTAATACCACTACAAACCAGTAAAGGCAGAAACGTGCAGTATTTGTGCTCTACTGTACTGATAATTACTAAATCATTCTGAATGGGTCTAAAGTTTACTCAATATTACTCGACATCAAGCTGAACCATACTTAACTGTACTGATTTGTACTCAATCCTTATCTTGATCATACCGAAAAGTTTGAATTCGTTCTCGACTAGGCTGGAACAGTCCAATTCTTTCATAGATACCACGATATGGTTTGAAAGCTTGGCTGTACCTGTAGAAGAATTCTTTCAAACGAATTAGTACATCCTTTTTTTAACGATGATATTGTTTACAAAGCCCGGAAATTTAGTTACAATACGGGTATCAATCTTTCACATAAACTTATTCCAAAAGGTTCAAAATTCAACACTGTAATTAGATCTTGGAACACCTTTTTTATTGGTATAGATATTGATTTTGTTATCAGTAAATTAAAACCATACTAAATATTATTGTTATACACAGATGAAAATTCACGGTACTACAATCTGTCGATACTTATGTTTTGGCATTGCACAAGGTAAACCAATTTTATTTGCTAATTGAAAAATTAGCTGAATAAAATCAATGATTTAAGACATCAGGGAAGATAATTCTGTATTGTTTTTTTTCCTCAGACTTAAATAAAGAGTGAGCTATTTATACTGTAAATTTATGATGTCTCTGTAGTGGTCAATGGGTCAGATTTGTTATACTTTATTGAACGATAAATTATTGAAATAAGATAACATGTTTTCACGTGTAGAGAAATTTCACGATGATGATGGAAGTGTTTAACGACCTTGACTGACTTTACAGCCCTCGCACGGTCGGCTCGGTGCCCGAAAACGTTTGGTGAACGTTTAAATATTTTCATGCGTGACGATGGAAAGTTGGAAAGGACGGCCGTCATTTTGGCTTTGGTAAGATCTTTTTGGTTTGTTGCCTATTTTGTTGTTGTTTACTGCCTTCACAACGGCTGCTTTCAGGGCCAGGTGGGTCAGCTTGGCAGCCCACTAACCACGAAGATGAAGTACTGGTCGATGAGTCTCGGACATAGTAATAACGATGACAGGAAGCTTTATCAGGACCAAACTCGTAAGACAGTGAAATGGCGGTCCATTATCCAACACCTACGATACAGACCCTCGGACGTCAGTCGGCATAATATGTCCCCCATAATGGGTGTTACGGACCATATGCTAACGCGGGTATATATGCGAAACTTCAATTTTATACAATGTACTGTACAGCGTTGGATTGGTTTCTGTCATCGAGAGTAGTGTTTCGTTGATCCATATATCAGTAAACCAACATCGTAGATAGCGGGTAAAGTGGAGCTGACCCGGCACGTCCTTTCAGTTGTACTGACTGAGACGTGACTGATGGATGCGAAATTTCACTAATGACCAGTGCATGATTTATTAAATCGTTCTTATTGATCAATGATCTTGCGGGGTCAGCACGAGTTCACTTGTATGTGCATTGTGAGCATTTCCTTTTATCATCAGCTTTTGACTTGTTAACTTGTAATTCATATCACACAAGTTGTGAAAAATTAAAATTTGATGGATAATTTTGGACAGGAGTGATTTCCGTTTTGCATTTTGAAGTAAAATTGACCTTTATTTTTATGTTTTAGCTATTTTATGGTTACATTCTGGACAAACGTTAAGTTGCTATTGATCATTCTTTCATTCGTCTTAGGTATCTGTATGAAACATGGTTCATTTAGATACAAATACAAACACTTATTAGCATACGCTCATTAACAATGAATGGTTAAGACCTATTTCACATAATAATAATAATAATAATAATAATAATAATAATAATAATAATAATAATAATAATACTAATAATAATACTAATAATAATAATAATAAAAATATACATGATAGAATAAAAAAACTACTTATATATGATATTTTTAAACCATTCCTTACATTTAAACACTCTAATATGAAAGCAGTTTAAGTAATAATGCTAAGCTATTGTTTATTGTGTTACAAACCAATTTGCCTTACTTGTTTTTGGTAAGGTGGACGATATTTTAAATGGTGCAGAGGGCATTGTTGCTTGTACTTACGACCTCTTTGTATTTGCTTTTGCAAATACGTTTTTAGGTAATGTTTATTGTTTTTTGCTATGTCATGAAACTCATGCTACTTTTGTAAATCTCGTCACGGTGATTGGTTTGGAGCAAATAATTTTATAAGTTAGCCTATTCGCTATAATTGTCAGTATTTTAATGTATGTACAATTGCTTATATCAACTTCATTTAAAATGTCGTGAATAGTTGTATCATTGGCAATCATACCACATTGCCTTATTTTCATATTAGTCAATTCTCGAGCTGTACTTTACCAGTTCTCAAACTGTTCTCCATGTGTTAACAATACTCGACCAAAGGACTTTAAGGTTTGAACCATACTCGATCAAAGTTTGAACCTTACTCGACCACTAAATTTCTTCTTTATAAAGCTTGATTGTATAACTACAATTTATTCAAAGATAAACTATATAATTTTACATTGAGTTAGTACATAATTGTGTGTATTTTTTTTTCATCACTCAAATTACGTTCCGATATTGTACCTCTTGGTCAATTTTCTACCAAAGGAAACCAAATCTTCGAAAATAAAAGGAATAAGAGATAAAACTAAGATATGGTCCAGTATGGTTCAGACTTAGTAAAGTACGGTTAGATTTGGTCCAGTATAGTTGATTCTAGTATGATTCATACTCTTTATAATAGTTACGAACTGTTTACGTACAGGTCAAGTACAAATTCAGACTATATTCGAGCGAATAAAATTGAGTCTAATTCAGAATGGTTGAATAAAAATCAGTACAGTCGAGTACAAAAACTGCCTTTTTTCATACTTTTTACTAGTTTTTAGTGTACATAGTATTATATGATAATCAAAATTTAATTCTGATTACATTTGTACATACGAATTACTGAGATTTGGTGTATGCGTTAAGGATACATCAGCTTTTTATCCGAACCGAGTCTGGATGCAATTTGTTAATCAATTAAACAAAACGTATCTGATGATCTGCCTCCTACACCAAAATTTCCCCAAAAAAGCAAAGTACGAAGATACGATACATTCAAAGAGCTGTTACTTTTTGTCATATGAAAATGTAACTAAAACAGTGTATAGTAATCGATGGTTAACCACTAAGATTTTAAGACATAGTAAAAGGCACTCCAAAACTATTTTTATTGTATGGAAATATTTATAGTTGGTTAATGTGCATTAAATACAAACTCAAAGGACACAAATAGTTCATAGTTACGTTTTACGTCCATATTTCGCATCATTAAGTTGTCAGCTGAACCATATATTAGTTTTGAGCACTTCATATTTCGTCGTATCTAATTCCATAGTATTAATATTAATATATTTCCCCATAACTTATTGTTCTTATATTGATATATTGTAGTCTTGTACACTGACCATAACAATTTTCTTTAAAGTGCAAAATAGTATGTAGAGCTCCCAATATTTAATTTTGAGAAGTCCACAGACCTGCATATAAACCTACCATCATATGATAATTTCTTCATGAACATTAGATCCGTATCATCTTTTTTTCATTTTTTTATAAATTAAGGAAGATGTTAGTATACGTAAATGAGACAGCAATTCAAAGAAAAAATAAGCAAATGACATATAGTTAGGAGTCAATATACAGTTTTGAACAATAGACAGGTATCTAAACAATATATCAAGCTCCAAATTGTTTTCACCGTCTTTGAAAAGCCGAAAAAGGTCAAGTATTTATTCTGCTGCATAAAACTGTGCCTGTCTAAAGCCAGGTTCCAGTATTCGTCTTAGATCTTTGTTTTTATTCGTTTTCGTATTTTGTTTATATCTATAGCATTAAATTTAATGTAAATCTTTCTATTCTCCTTTTATAATCATAAGTGGAAAGTGTGAAATTGTAATACTCTCTATTTAATTTTCTCTATACACTGTATATACCGCGTCTCATGTTCATCTACTTTACATGTTGGTAAAGATTAGTTTAGTTTTGTGGGAGATTTTCCAACTGTTTTTTGATTTATGGTTATATAATCATTCAACTTGAAAACAATGTATCGATCTTTATTTTACTGAATGATAAAGGGACACATCTCCACAGAACACTATGTTTAAGTAAAATGACAAACGACAACTACACATAAATATAATAAAAGTGTTCAGTGTTCATGAAGAAAAATACAAGATTTAATCCAAAGGCTCAAAAAAGAATATATATTATAATTCAGAAAAAATAAATCATTCTAATGAATAATGTTATAATTAACATAAAGTAATCAAACTCGTGCATGATTTGTTATGCAACATAATATATTTTAATGGTTGATCGTTCAAACCACGTCTCATTCAAATAAAGAAAATGGAAATTCGGAATGATTTCAGTGGCAGTTACCTTCTTGTTAAATGTTCATATTATGTCATTAATTGTGGCCTAGCGTTCGACATACCTACAATTTGAATAAGTAAAAACCTCCGCAAAAAAACTATTAGTGTTGCACAGTCTTAAGTTTTCTTTGTTGTGTTTAGTTATTGTTGTGTGTCCTTTTTGTCGTTATAATGTTTGACCACGGCTTCATCTGTTTTCATTGGACTTTCAAATGCACCCTTGGTATCTGCTCTCTCTTTCTCTACACTAGGGAGCAAATCATCATTTGGACATTTTTTGCTAACTTACCAATTGCAATATGATTAGATGTCGTAACAAAGTAAAAATAAAAATCATTGTACTATTGGGTAAATTTTAGGCACAGATGAAGGAGATGTTACAATATTGGTCAATAAAACAACTTATAACTTCTCTGTTAGAACTGCGTTTATTTTTACTAAGCTGGGTATCGAAACTCCTGTCTACCCCTTAGCTGAAATGTATTCCGGAAAGAGTCCAACTGCGACTTTGAGCTCAAATTGTTAACATTGTTGAAAATTCACTTTATTCACGTTCCATCTGTCTTTTGGCAGTGAATCCCTAGTTCAGCTAGAAAAACGGTTTCTTGGGCATTTCTTAGACTTAACGCATTGTAAAAAACACTTAAACCTCATGCTGCGCATTTGTTTTTTTTTGTTTTTTTGTTAGAGTTGATTGGTGAATGAGCCACAGACAAACTAGACATTGGTGAAAAACATTCCATATTTTTGTTTGATGAGGTTCTTAGAAAGGTTTGCTTCATTTTATACCAAATTGTTGTAAAAATAAACATATCTTATTATGTACATTTTAAGCTGTAATGTATAACTTAAACCCTTACCTTTCTAGAGCTATTAGTTCGGAATTACGTAGACTGTTTTTAATTTTACAATAAAAACATGAACTTGTATAGTTAGCTTTTTGATTTAAAAAATAGGGTTTAACAGAAACACCTTATTTTGAGATTAAAACTTTTTGTATTGATGCACCTTAATGGGGCATATTTGCAATTAGCTATTGTGGGACATTTAATTTCAAAGCTTAAGTGTAAATATTATTTCGTATCTAATTTAATTACAACTCAGATCAATATGCAGTTTTGAAGCCTAACATCTTCTTGTCATATTGCTTTCTATGTTTTAAACTATATTGATAATATAAATCTATCACATATATCATACAGCGGATATATAAATGAAATTGTTGTTTTTAGATTAACAGCAGGTAATTGACATGTTTAATCAGGCATAATAATAACCATTCTTTTGCACATGGGACAATTCTGTTTTCTCTTTTTTAACCATGGTTTTACACAATCAACATGGAACTCTGAAATTAAAACGAAATATATCACTACACGTCATCGAAAGCTTAATGGGCATGATGTAGACTTTGATTTTGGCTAACCAGTTTGAAATATCTGTGTCACAGATTAACACGGAATTAATTCAATTGTTGTAGCCACAATATTGTTCTGTTTTCCCAGATTGTGACTTATCACCCAATGCAAAAGAAAGGAAAATAACAACAATACCGAACTCCAAGGATAATTCAAAACAGAAAGTCCCTTATCGAATGGCAAAATCAAAAGCTCAAACACATCAAACGAATGGAATACAACTGTCATATTCCTGACTTGGTACAGGGATGTCCTTATGTACAATATGGTGGATGTTACCTGTATAAGAGATTGATGAGTGTCTTTTTGTCAGTTTTTCTTTCCTTTTCTTTTTTTTCGCCATGTATTGTCTGTTTCTGTTCAACTCTTTAGTTTTTTCTGCCGCATTTTCATGTGATGATATAAGATAAATGCAGAAGTAATAAAATATAACATCAAACCAGAAAGGTAAAGGGACGGACGTATGCTTTGTATGTAGATATTTCTTTTTCGGTCTTGTATTGTTATGGTTACATTGTATGACATCTGCATAATTTTTCAAAATCAAAATTACTTTGTTTCTTATATATTCTTTGATTTTAATGAATTTCATCAATGGGGTTTGTTTTTTTTAAGTTTTGATATGCTCAACAGATAGAACGGACGATATGACATCCGCCACTTAACGCGACAGTAAACAGATTAAATTCACATTTAATAAATAAAGTCCTCTAAATTTAAGAACTTGTTCATTAATTACTAGTATGTGTATTTTGATTTTTGATTTTATCACAAGTGTGACTTTTAATTTACAATGTAAAATGGGTTTACTTTGCATAAATATTTTTTTTCCACAACAGATTTGTGAATACTGAATACGATGACGTCGGCTGTTATTTATACAAAAAACGTTTTTAAAAACGACAACTACTGACGTAACAGGGTGCGTTTTTTCTACGTATATTTGACCATATTTGTGTTTTCTACTAATAAAATAAAATTGAGAATGGAAACGGGAAATGTGTCAAAGGGACAACAACCCGACCAAAGAGCAGAAAACAGCCGAAGGCCACCAAATGGGTCTTCAACACAGCAACAAAATCCCGTACCCGAAGGGGGGCTTCAGCTGGTCCCTTAAAAAATGTATAATAAATACTTCTGAAATACTACTAAAAAAACTAGAAACAAATTTTTCTTTTAAAACACATACCATGTTCACAAAGTAAAATCCATAACTTTTCTTTATTAACAAATTCCTCTAGGCATATAGGGCACGTGTCGTATCGATGACCTGTAAGACAAATACAGTTTTATTTTTAGCTTCTTGCATGAATGAAGAAAGATGAAGGTTTACTTAAATGAGATAACAGCCAAATAGAAATTTAACCGAAACATTTAAAGGGCAACATACAGTGTTAAAAATAGACAGATGGTCTATATGATATGTCAACTTCTTAATTGTCTCAAAAGTATAAAAATCGTGAATAAATTAAGCAAAAACTATCAAAGATATGCCATTTGCACCAAATTTCCCAAACTAGAAACATTATACTTATACATAAGACAATTACTGACGAGGACCCTAATTTCGAACAGATACATGAGATTGCAATAATCTTTTCTTGACATCTATAAGTGGCCTTACAAAGAACACACTTTATGTATGAATAATAACAGAAAATGGACGTTTCATAAAAATCCGTAATTTTTGATTGACAATTGCGAGGCTTTCAAAATTGTATTTGTGTTTTATGTTTCCTAATTAAATGCAACATTTTAGAGTGCACTAGTTCCCCATGACGACGTCTCTACAATACATTAAGAAATCAAACGAATAGCTTGATATCAATCACAAATTCATAGTTACAGTATGAAAATGTAATTATAAGAACTCAGTGCTTTTTGTTTATTTAGTAGGGTTGTAAAAGCGTTGATTGTGTGCATACTTTAAATATGAAACACTTCCGCGTTACATACTACATGTAACTCAGTCAACACTTTTACATAATAAAAATTTAATGAAGTATTCATTAAATACATATATTTGGTAAACGGTTATGAGACAGCAACAAAAAAAAAAATAAATAAAAAAAGGACAGCAGGTTTATGATTTGAGGTTCTTACAAATATTGTATAATACATTTTTGCTGTTGGTTTTTTTTTGTTTTTTGTTTTTTGTTTTTTGTATTTTTATATTTTGCTTATTGGGTATTTATCAATATAATGGATAAAATGACATTCCAATAAAAATGTTTTATTTGTAAGAAAGTGCCACAGATACTTATAAATGGTTCTGAAGTTGTCAATCACTACAAGGTTTATCATAATTACGAAAAAAGTGCAAAATTATGTCATTATTATTTTCAGTTGCAATTTAATATTAGACATCTGTAAAATTCTATACAAAAGAGGGACGAAAGATATCAGAGGGACAGTCAAACTCACAGATCGAAAACAAACTGACAACGCCATGGCCAAAAATAAAAAAGACAAACAGACAAACAATAGTACAGATGACACAACATAGAAAACCAAAGACTAAGCAACACGAACCCCACCAAAAACTGGGGGTGATCTCAGGTGCTCCGGAAGGGTAAGCAGATCCTCCTCCACATGTGGCACCTGTCGTGTTGCTTATGTTATTACAAATCCGGTAAATAGTCTAATTCGGTAAGTCACATTCGTAAAAAGGGAAGGGTATTGTAGTTACGACATAGGGAACATATCCGATATCATCTGTGAAACGGTTATTCCATAACGGTCAACCAACTCTTGATGGCGTCCGTAAAATTTACGAATGAATGATTTCAACTTCACCATTTGGAACTCTTGGCTTAATAGCTTCCTTGTGAGCAGCAATCCTCTATCAAGGAAATCATGATAGGAAACACAAGCCCGGGAATACCGTATCAATTGGGAGATATATACTCCGTATGCAGGCGCTGCTGGAATGTTGCTACATAGAAATGGAAAGTTCACAATTGGGAAGCTGAAATCATCTCTTTTGTCATAAAGTTTTATATTCAACCGACCCTCATTGTCAATTTCTAGATGTAAGTCATGATATGAGGCAGACTAAACTGTATCTGAATTATCTTTTATCTGTAGTTCGATAGGATAGATTCGTTCAACATAGTCACTAAATTTTGTATTATTTAGTGAGAGAACATCATCTATATAGCGGAACGTAGAGTTAAAGGATATTGCTAACTTCTTATCTTTCTGTCAAAATAGCCTGTAAATTTTTCATTCAGACTCTTGCTAAATTCGCATAGGTTTCATAAACATTTCATTGTGAGTAAAACAAATAAAAAGTGAATTGGCCTTACATTGTACGACTGTTGTCGAATAACGAGACATGCAGTTGCATCAAAGTAAAATCAAAGTTTCATCTTCAAAGCAAAATGAAAACCAATTGAACATTGTTTTGTTTTGGGTCTTTTAATTTTTGTATCTTTGTCGTAGACCGCACATATTCTGTAATTCAGTATGATGTGATATGTACTGTGAAACCAAAAGCAAAGAAGTTGCTACACATTTACGGTTGGTTTTACTCTAAGTGCAATAACTTGTATGTCAAAGCTTTCTTGTTTGTTGCAAACTGGTTGTGTTTGGATCTTACCAGTTTTCAAATAATATTATGATAAATAATTAGCCAAGTAACTTTTGCTATTATATGAAAGAAATGACATATTTAGGCGTACTTATATACAATGTAAGACCAAACTTTATACTTTCCATCTAGTCAAAAAAAGTGTGTGACATAGTGAAGTTAAGTAGAAATTAGGGACTTTTAATTTCATTTCAAATAATGAGTTTACAATTTCGGTTGTGTTGTTTAAATGCGATATGATAACATGTGAATCATGCGAGATGCATTGGGGTTTATCATTGTGATGTTGATAAGCCAAAATAGCACAATAAACATAATGAAAATGTGTTTATATTTATTTAATTCTTTCCAAGGAATAGAGTAGACCCGGGTAACATGTGCAATTTTTTACATATATTTTACGAGAAGCAATTCTGATCTCGAAGCAGTCTTTTAATTAGAATAGATTACCCTAGCTGTATTTGACAAAACTTTTTTTTTAATTTGTGTCCTCAATGCTCTACAACCTAAATCCTGTCATCTATGTTTAGTTTATTCAAAGTGTGAAGGAACTGGAAATGCAATTTTGTTAAAAACTTTTACCTTTCTTAAACTTTGCAGCATGAACTGCACATGCTTCAAAAGTACAACTTTTCCACGTATACGTTTTAGACAACTGAAATGGCGTTCCACTCGTTGTACTTGTCCTCCCTCTGCTGGCTGATATTCTTTCTTTAATCTCCTTCTAAAACCATGTTAGTATATATCAGTTTTACAGTTGTTTAAAGATCTTCGCAAGTGTTTACTTATTTTTATGGATTTACGCAATAATTGGATATGTTTAGTCAATAGCAGAATTCAGCAAAGAAGTTTATTTCACACGAGACTTCAAGCTTAATATTGTATTTGAAACCTGACGTCGGGTCCAGATACTTGTATATTGTTGAAGACAGCCTGTTGAACGCTGAATGTCTTTTGCGACTTTTTATGCCAAACCACTCACTGGCCGCGAAATATTGGTCATATACGTCCGTCATATTCTCATTTGATCTATCTATTACCATTAATTGTCCTAATGGTTTTGCAATACTTGTAGCTATCAACATGATGATTTATTATAATGCAGGTCGAGTTTTCAGTTGTTTTAGATGACCTGTTTTCATAGAATAATTCTGGTTCATGAGCAGGAAAAGTGTAGAAACATGCGAAAGAAATTAGTCTAGTTGGGTTGATTTCAAATTGACGTGTACCTCACACATTCTTCTATTTACATTAAACATTTCTACCGTTTGAATGCTAAAACATCTAGTTCGTACTTTTCTCGCATTATCAATGATGTTTTTCAATAAACACGAGATTGTTATCAATATCACATTATAAGAATAAGAAAATGAGCTTTTATTGCCAATAAGACAACTATCCAGCAAAGACTAAATAACGCAGATGCTTGCAACTCTAAGTCATTGTACGGCCTACTAAACCTATACATAATAGCTAGCTAAGAAAATCCGAAATGTCAAAATGTAAAACACTTCAAACGAGAAAACTAACGATGTACAGTATGTACAAAACAATTAGCGGAAAACAAATATGATAGACAACAACTAACGACAACCACTGAATAACATGATCCTGGCTTTGAATATGGACATTAAAAATGTTCCGGGTTAAACAAGTGTTCACTAAAAATCAGCTGACAAAGACTTAAATTGTCAGATCGACACAAAGCACATACACACAACTAACAAAAAAAGATTAAGACACAAAGTGCCGATCTAAGAATACTCGTTGTTAGTGAAAGCTATTTTAAAGCCAATTACAACTAATAAATAAATACTGTTTCCCAGACTAAAGAAGTACTTGTACTAGATAGACAAGAACAGAAAATATAGTTTTAATAAAAAATGAGTTCGGATAAGAAAACTTCAAGATGAAAGAAGATACAAGATTTTTTGAAAAAATCGACCACCACAAATAGAGTTTTTAATGCAACCAAATGATATTCAAGGTTTACACAGGTACGTACGATTTTTTCACGTATGCACTCACCTGTTAAATGATTCAAACATGCAAATCCGGACTAGCAGTGTCAAAGTTAGGAACATTAAAAAGTGTTAATGTCAGGTAGACGATAGTAGATATCATTATCTATGAAAACGTTTGTGCTTCTAATAAGGTAAGAAACTTTGACAATGTAACAATCAATCAATTCGTTATCGATATGATCAATTCTCGATATTTTCATGTATTACTTTGATGAGCTTTTCGTGTTCTTTTTCAATTATATGTTGCATACAAATGTATTTAGTGTATCTTTCAACTAGCATATTTGCTCTGTCATTACAAAATAAAGTGCGTGCAAGTTAGCAGTGAAAGTAATCTTTTAGATTTTGAATCGACTGAAATATGAGTTATCGTTAGAAGTAGAGGTATTTTGTAGTTAAGCGCATTTGCAAAAATATTTGTACTTACAAGCCTTGCATTCAACCATATGCAACACAAGACCACCATAAGACATGCAACAAAAATTGAAAAACCGATCAACACATCTCTCGACAGCGTGTCGGTTTTTTCAAATGAACTGAAAAATTTCAGAAATGAATACATTTTTAAACAACTCTTCTAAATAAAGATTTGTTAATCGAAATATTAGAGGCAATATTGGGAAATTTACATGAAGCTATTCGAAATTTATAGTCACTCAATTAAAGAGATAGACTCACCTTCGCAAAAAAATGTAAACATTTCCCTTTCTTTCATTTAAGAGGGACATAGTGATTTCATATGCATACTCTTTTTAAAAACACACATAGTATGCAACCCCATTCCCTTACCCACGCCTTGGTATTTTCTTACCCTTTTTATATGATTTGTTTTACATGACTTTTCGTAGATACACAATTTTATATTTTGTACATAGAATAGTTTTCGACAGAAATGATACCTACATCAACAAACTATTGTTTACGAAATTTTTTATCTACATGAAATTAAATTAAAATCAGTGTTAATTCGGATAGTAATTTCATTAATCATGATTTCTTTTGTTTTTTCCGTCAATACAACTTTTTCGAATATATGAAAAAAAGATAGATCAAGTATATGTTATCATATTACAAGAACTTTACACCAAACTAGTACGTCCAAAATGTTTTATTTAATAACATGAATAATAAATATAAATTTTTGGGAAGGTTCATTTCTTACTACGCCAAACTAATTTTGATATCAACACCATGTAACAGTTCTTTTGCATGTTTACTGATAAAATTGATACATGTATGCTAAGTTTATGTGAAATGTGTTTAAAAGGCAGTCGGTTTTCTTAAAGGTTCCAAGTATGCTCCTCTTCTAGAAAACACGATTTTTTGTTTAAATGCTGCAGGAAGTAAGAATTTTGAAAGGAATGAATGAAAAAGATGAGTATTCTACTCAAACCTTTCATAACACGTTCCTCAAAATTGCATATTTCATTTTTCTGCAAGACAGCAAGACAGCAAAATATCATGGAATGTGTCTTTAAGAGACTCCTACTCCTAGTACAGCTAGGTCCGCTAGGTATCTTGTACCGGTTGACCATATTTAAAATTTATATTTGATGTCTGTCGGGTAGAAAGAGTTAGAAAGTTACATTCAATACTAAAATTATATTGACGTAAAATCGCACATAATGTTGCAGGTTTATAGAAAAAAGCCTTCCAAAATATTTACCTTTACTTTAAACAAATATTTATATAAGATATTTTAAAACTGGTACTCACTACCCAGATAATCGCATCGCCAGCAACATTAAGAGCAAGGTCAGTACTGCTATTATAATTTCCCGGTTATATTCTAAGTTTAGAAGATCTTTGCAAAAGAATTTCTGAAACAAAAAGTAATATGCATGCTAGTTCCAGTATTGTATTAGTACGAAAAACTTGTAGGCTTTGAGATATATCAGTTTTAAAGAGGAGATGTGATATGAATGCCAAAGATACAACTATCCACCAGAGACCAAATAACGAGGGTGTAAGAAACTATAAGTCAACGTATAGTATGAAATTTGATCTTAAACCTATAAGGTAAGCTTTAAAAACAGACATGAAAGAATGTGAAACAATTCAAAAGAACAACCAACGGCTGACGTATATTAAAACATTTTTAAAGTGTTGAAATATGTGAAACTGGAACATTTGGTGGTCAATTATTACATTTAAATACAATGAATATCGTTATTATAAATGTACTCACAAAATTGTAAACTATAATGGCGGGCCAAACTAATAATAGTATATTAGATTATTAGAAAGTCACATCAGAACCATAACGATTCTGAAATTACACTTTTGACTCTACAAAATAACATTATTATGAGAGAAGTTTTATCCAAACATGATGACTTACAGTCCCACACTGACCCGATAGTACAAACTAGCACATCGCCAAGTATTTTAGATACTGCCATCCCAACTCCAATAATTTTCACAACTAATGATGGCCATGCCGTCAATCAATTTATCAGAAGTGATTAAACATATTATTGCTAGTCCTGACTTTGTTGATTGAACCGGTCCATAAACTGCTGATATTGTTAAAGCTAGTTTAGGCAGTGCTTTGTCCAATTATGTTTCGAATCACGAACCCAAAGTAGAGAAACAAGAACAAATACTTTCAGATTTAATAGTTAACAATTTAGAACTTATGGAAAGCAATAAGCAGATGAATTAAAATTGATCTAGGGGAACTACAGCAATATGGGAGGAGAAATTCTTTGCGATTTCATAATGTACCCTTATAGAAAACCGAGCTTGGTTCAACAGATGAGTTGGGTTATGCAAATCTCTTCTTGATCTAAATATAAAAGTTTATGATATTGACAGGTCTTACATGGTAGGTCTATATACAAATATGGCAATCACCAGTTAATCTGTCGATTTCGGAATTGGAAAATTTATAACATTATATTTCAATAGAAAAAAATGCCAAAGAATAATTCGGATAAAACAGTTAATAATTACCGAAGACCTGACCCAATATCGACAGTTATTGGTGAAAAGTTAAATGATGCCAGGAAAAGATAAGAAATTGAAGGTTCTAGACGATGGTTGAACGAATATTTGCCAAAAAACGCCCCAATCTAGAAGAACATTTATTCGAAGAATGGAGGACTTGAGTGAACTTTTCCTGTCTTAACTGATAAAGTATTCATGATTAAAAATTGATATTTGTACTGTTCATGTTATATTATTAGATACATGCAAATGTTATAATATTTTGAATTAAAACATACTTATTAATAAATATATTAGAACACCACAAGTAAAAGATAGGGACTTACCGTAAATGAGATAATATTGAGAACTGTTATTTAGGTAATATCATATCAGATATAAAAAGAAGATGGGGTATGATTGCCAATGAAACAACTCTCCACAAGAGACCATATGACACAGAAATGAACAATTATAGGTAACCGTACGGTCTTCAACAATGAGCATAGTCAGCTATAAAAGGCCCCGAAATAACAAATGTAAAACAATTCAAACGTGAAAACTAACGGCCTAATCTATTTTCTTAACACATATAAATAAGAAGTTGTGGTATGAGTGCCAATGAGACAACTATCCATCTAAGTCACAATGTGTAAAACGTAAACAATTATAGGTCAAAGTACGGCCTTCAACACGGAGCCCTGGCTCACACCGAACAGCAAGCTATGAAGGGCCCCAGAATGACTAGTGTAAATCAATTCAAACAGGAAAACCAACTGTCTAATCTATATAAAAAACGAGAAACGAGAAACACTTATGAACCACACCATCAAACGACAACCACTGAACAACAGGCTCCTGACTTAGGACAGGTGCATAAAAATGCAGCGGGTTTAAACGTTTATTTGTTTGACCCATAACTAAGTCATTGGGTCTTTGTGTTACGATCTACTCGATTGGTGTTGTAACTAAATATTTGATTTTTGTATCAACAATGTTGTCGATAAAATATTTTAATAACTAAATATATGTTATGTGATCAATTTATTAAAGTTGTTGTCCTCGAAAAAGGTACGCCAGATACCAATTCGCTCATACGTTTTTTGCCCTGTGTTTATGTAAATACAAATTTTGCTTCTGTTTGTTTATTTTGCTGTTTTTTCTTTCATAGTGGAGCACACATTTGAATTATGTCTTTATGGTGTATTAGTATTTATGGTGTATCATTACACATACTTGTTCATTTACATTTTACTATCGCGGGTCCATGACTAATTAAAGTACCTATGCCTTATTTGTAGCCTGGATTTTTAGTATTTGTAATATTATCTGCTAAAGTCATGCTGATTGTAAGGTGCACAATTTCCTCTGTTCTCAAAATCTTTCTGTTTTAACCGAACCGCACGTCCTAGGTTTCTTACTACAATAAATTTACTATAAACTAAACTGATGTTTTTAACTAAATAGTCAAAATTATTAGTGGTATTGAGGTGGAAGAAAACCGACTTGTTAAATAATGTACTATAGTGTGACCTTGATATAAAACAACTACTGGAAGAATTCCAGGCTCTCCTGTTAGAGGAGGGGTTTACAGATGGTAACAGACAACTACAAACGGAAACTACACGTGACATATACTATTGGTATCGGTATCGGATTCGATCCGGAACTTTTTTATTATAAGTAATATTAATTATGTGGAGAACAAAAGGGCCTAAAATTGAATAATTTTCCTATTTTAGTTATATATAAAGATGAATTCTTTGATTCGTCGTTTTTACGTCATGCCGGCTACACATTGGACTTCGTCATTTTAGTAGTATAGATGTGAATAATAGTTAATAAATAGAGATCCAACTTACAAATCAACAGAAGATGTGTTTATCATAGACAATGGATGATGATTTAATTCAATACAGAATCTCAAGAAGCACATTTAATTTCAAATTGTATTCAGTTCTAAAAAAAGAGAAAATGTTGTATTATATGAAAACATATTCACTGTTTTCACAGTTCGTTCAATATGTTTTATACAGTATTAAAATAAGTTTAGATAATCTCCATAAAAGAGAAGCGAAAGATACCAAAGGAACATTCAAACTCATAAGTCGAAAATAAACTGACAACGCCATGGCTAAAAAAGAAAAAGACCAATAAACAAACAATAGTACACAAAACACAAACACAGAAAACTAAAGACTGAGCCACACGAACCCCACCAAAATCTGGGTGCTCCGGAAGGGTAAGCAGAACCTGCTCCACATGTGGCACCCGTCATGTTGCTCATGTTTGTACAAACCCGGTAATAAGTCTAATTCGGTAGGTCACATTCGGTTAAAGGGGGACGGGATATAAGTTTACTTTATGTAATTTTTGTGTAGATTTTAGTTTTACCTTTATTATCATGATTATGTTACTTTTGATACTTCTTTGTAAGATGCAGCTGAAAACCCCGGCCCCTATGAAAACGAACTTTCGATATTTAATTTGAATGCCAGAAGTGTCCGAACAAAACTTGATTATATTGAAACTCTGGCCTTAGGCTTTTCCATAATTTGTATCACAGAAAGTCCTCCTGCTGAAAATATTTTTAGTCATGATATACATATAGATGGATACCATAATGAACTATATATAATTGATTGGAACTGCTTTGGCGGAGGTGTCTTGATTTATGTATCTGAAATACTAAAAACAAAGAGGCGATTTTATTTAGAATTTGAAAGTGGTGAACTAATATGGTTAGAAATTAATTTCCTCATCACAAAATTTTACTTTGTGTTGTATATCAATCACCAGATTCAAGTCATTCTTTCTTGGAAAATTTCAAACATTCAATAGAACAATTATATAACAACAGACAAAATAGTTATGTCGATTGGACCTACTTTGATATGATAACTGCACTTGAATTTTTACTCGATAAAATTTTTGTTCGCTATGGAGATTCCGTTTATCGTCAAGTTATCGGAATTCTAACGGGGACTAACTGTGCACCACTTATTGTGGACCTTTGTATTGTTACGAGTTACAATTTATGACTAAAATCAGCAACTGATATATTTCACTTTTACATATTCGGATGATACATTGCTTCTCAAAATTGACGACTTCAGTATGTACACTAAAGAGATTTATTCTGCTGAACTGACTTTAAATAAAGCCAATACTAACACTGAGCACTGTTCTTTCCTGGATCTTGACATCTATATCTTTAACGGGAACTTTATACTAAAATTTACGATAAAAGAGATAATTTTATTTTTCCTATTGTTAATTATCCATTTTTAGATGATGACGTTACATTGACACCATCTTATGGTGTTTATATATCCCAACTTGTACAAGTCACTCGTGTATGTAACAATGCATGTGATTTTAACAAACGAAATCTCTGTATTACGGAAAAATTATTACACCAGGGTTTTCGATATCACAAACTTGTCAAAACATTAACTAAATTTTATCATCGGTACAAGGACATCATTCGTAAATATAAATCAACGTGCAGACATCTTATACGTTCAGGTATTTCACATCCCATATTTTATGGTAATATTCTACACAAAGCACAAAAATGTCGTCTTTCCTCAAAAGGTAACGGAACCGATTTATTCAGAAGGGATACATTTACAATACTGTTGTCAAGTCATTAAAGATGGCATTTTTTTGGAATTAATATTGATTCACTCGTAGGATCTTTGCGTCGGAAATAAACAGTTTTAGTCTAAAACCAGTTATTGGTATGATACGGGTTATGTTCTTCTAGTATATTTTTTGATGGTATGATACTTAACCCCTTACGGAGGGATTGTGCTTGATTTTCATAGGATGAAGACATACTCTTTCATTCAATTTATTTGAGGTCTGGAGCTGGCATGTCAGTAACTCTAGTAGTCCTTTGTTAATTTATGTTCATCATTGTCATTTTGCTAAGTTTCTTCTGTTACCTTATCTAACATCGGACTCGGACTTTTTTAACAGAGTTTTAATGTGCGTATTGTTTTGTGTTTTTTATTTTTCATTGGCTACAGATATAGAGGTAGGGTTGAGATCTCACAAAACATGTTTAACCCCGCCGGATTTTTGCGCCTGTCCCAAGTCAGGAACTTCTGGCCTTTGTAAGTCTTGTAAGTTTTTTTTTAAATTTTAGTTAAGTTATATGTATTGGAGTTTAGTGTGACGTTCATTTTTGCTGAAATAGTATACATTTTTTAAAGGGGTCAACTGAAGCCCGCCTTCGAGTGCGGGATTTTCTCGCTGTATTTAAGATCCATTGGTAGACCGGCTGTTTTCTGCTCTTTGGTTGGGTTGTTGTCTCTTTGACATATTCCCCGTTTCCATTCTCTATTTTATATAATTATACAACTACAATTGTAATTACAGGTGATTTGAATGTTGATTTATTTACTGAACAAAACATGTCTAAATGATCTCATGAATAGTTTTTGTTTACAAAATGTTGTAAATAAAGCTACCAGATTTGATCAAAGATTTGGAAGAGCAACTTTATAAGTTCCAATAATAACTGAGATTGTTGTGCTACCTTTTCTGAAGTTATTGATATAAATAGAGAAATGAGTAATCATAATGCTACCCAAATATTTTTAAATTCCGAATTTTAGAGAAATAAACTTTCAAAGGATTTTATGAAATTTAATAATGATATAAATTTTTCAGAATTTTGGCAAATTTCTTTAGCTGCATTTGAGGATTCTGTAGACGGGTTGGCAGTTTTTTCACAGAAAAATATATAGACATGGCTAAAAATTCTGTACCTTCTAAAACCGTCACTATTCGACCATCAGATACACCTTGGTTTACACGGAAATTCGAAAAGAGATTAAGCTACGTAATAGACTTCATAAAAAAATACGAAAACTGAAAACTTTGCAAAATATTCAAAAATTTAAAGTTCAACATAACAAAGTCAATAAGCATGATTTTTAATGCAAAAGAACAGTTCTATTTAAACGCTAATGGTCTTTTAGATGAAAAGTCAAACACAGATCCGAAAGCATTCTTGTTATTGGAAATTGTCGTTCCACGTCGACTCCTCCCTTATTAAATCTAAACACTAATGAAATTTCGGTAAGTGAAAAAAAAGCAGATTTGCTTGCCTCATATTCTTGTAATATTTCTACCTCTTTAGATGAAAGAATTTCACCTCAAGACTTACCAATTCGTACCTAACATAGCTTTACTGCATATAGTGGGTGTTTACCTTTATCATATATATTCGTTTGTTAAATGAGAACCTCAAACTTTCCAAGTTGCTCGAAAGTTGCTAATGTTTTAGCTTTTTGAAAAAGGTGATAAAACGATGGTTTCAAACGATCCTTCTATTGCATTGTTAAACTGTGTAAGTAAAGTTTTTGAAAGGAAAGTTTATAATTTATGATAGTTTATTTCTATGAGGCTGACTTCATACAGGAACTTCTTAGGAAGAAAGAAAAGAAGTTAGCAATATCCTTTAACTGTACTCTCCGCTATATAGATGATGTTCTCTCACTAAATAATTCTACATTTGGTGACTATGTTGAACGCATCTATCCCATCGATACAACAGATACAGTTAAGTTTGCCTCATATCTTGACTTACATCTAGAAATTGACAATGAGGGTCGGTTGAAAACAAGACTTTAGGACAAAAGAGATGATTTCAGCTTCCCAATTGTGAACCTTCCATTTCTATGTAGCAACATTCCAGCAGCGCCTGCATACGAAGTATATATCTCCCAGTTGAAACGATATTCCAGGGCTTGTTTTTCCTATCATAATTTCCTTGGTAGAGGGTTGTTGCTCATAAGGAAGCTATTAAACCAAGAGTTCCAGGTGGTGATGTTGAAATCATCCCTTCGTAAATATACGGACACCTTCACGAGTCGGTTAACCGTTATGGAATATCCGTTTCACAGAAGATAGCGGATATGTTCCAAATGTCGTAACTACAATCCCGTCCTCTTTCCCCCGAATGTGACCTACAAAATTAGACTTATTACCGGGTTTGTACTAACATGAGCAACACGACGGGTGCCAGATGTGGAACTGGATCTGATTATCCTTTTGAAGCACCTGCGATCACCCTATGATGATGGGGTTCATGTTGCTAAGTCTTTAGTTTTCTATGTTGTGTTTTGTGTACTGTTGTTAGTCGGGTTATCTTTTTCTTTTTCAGCTATGGTGTTGTCAGTTTATTTTCGACTTATTAGTTTTAATGTCCCTTTGGTATCTTTCGCCTCTTTCTTATAAACATATTTCTAATTTCATTTCTGAACACAAGCTATTGTATAAACTCCTGAAATTTATCACAGAATTTGTTTAGCTCAAGATAAAGAAATTATTTGTATGCTTTTATGACATATCGAAGGGCTTTTGACCGGCTTTGGCCAAAGGTCTACAGGCAAAAATAAATAAAGGTTTAGATTGAAAAAAATTTCAAGTAAAAAGAAACAGAAATTGCTTCTAAAAAATTCAAAATCAACATTTGGTACATTAAAAGCAGGTGTATCTCAAGGCTCAGTACATGGGGCCTTATGATTTCTTATGTTTACAAATGACATATAACAGATTAAATTCAATGTTAAGTAATACTTCTTGCCGATGATAATTCACTTATGTACTCTTCGAGTAATGCTATAGATCTAGAAACTTTAAACAATTGGTCAAACTAGTGGTTTGTAGATTTTAATCCTTAAAATACAGATTATATGGTGTTATAATTTCCGTAAGGATTTCCAGTCTATCAATTTAAAATTCAATGGACAATGCATAAAAAAGGTGACGACAACAACCATTTAGGTTACGTTTTCTAACAACTGGAGGAATCAGTCCATATTGATAATATTTGTTGCAGTGCCACCAAACAGATTTTTGTTCCCAGGAAATTGAAATACGTTCTTTAATGAAACAATCTTAATAAGATACATTTTGCCTACATACTTCACTTTTGAAACATACATGCGAGCTATGGGATTGGTGCTGTGTACAAGATTCTGAGAAAAATTGAGCGCTTGCAGCTCGAGGCGGCCAGATTTAATACTGAAATTTTGCAATTTACAAGCAAAGAATCCCTATATTTTGAAACAGGATTGAAATCTTTGAGTTCTAGAAGAAATAGTCGTAAATTACGTTTATTTCATAAAATACATAATAATGATGTTCTAGAATATTTTATGGATTGTATCTCAGATTATGCAGTTATGCAGATAGTAGTCATTATAATACTAAAAACCGTTCTCATCATAGATGACCGAGATGTCGATTGGACATATTCTATTTGGAACAGACGAAATTTGTGTTGAACAAAATTCTATCCTTTTCAGAAAAATGCATAGTTATATACGCCATAGAAAACGATTCTTTGATTAACATTGCTATATCTTAAAATGACTGAGGTTGTGAGTTCGAATCCCGCACGGGACAGGTGCACTCGACTCCAATCTTAATTGACAAGGATTTTCAGTTTTACTACCGAAGGTCGGTTGTTCTCTCCAGGCAATCCGGGTTCCTCCGACAATAAAATCTGACAGCCACAAAATAGCACAATAGTGTTGAAAGTGGTTAAACACCAATCAATCAATCAATCTTAAAATATACTTGTATCCAACTGTTATTGTTTAAACATAATATATTTTTTGTATATAATTTTCATATTGTATTTAATTATATAATTGCTGTCATCGTGAATGTTTGTATATTGTAATTATTTGGAGAGGATTATGTTAAGTTGTTATATCTTGTATCCAATCCTATTGTTTTATGGACAATAAAATGCGATTAAACTAAACAATATTGAACATCTCTATGTATTACACATCCTAAACGGCGATGAAGTCGTATCCATCAGTCGAAGAAATTTCGAGCATTCATTATTAATACCCTAAGGTATCCTCGGTATAAACAATACGTAGAATATTCCATTGCTTTAAAATGTTACAGTAAAATAGTGCATTAGACAGGTTAAATAATTCATATAAATTAAGTATTGATCATTATAGTCTATCAATATATTTTCTACTTAATTTTATTTATGTATTGATTTTCCTTAAAGTATTTACTTTGACAAATATAATGACAGGACAACAACTTCCTATTTTTAGTTATGCATATTTTTCGTTTAAATTGTACTTGTTATGGAGAGACATCCGAAACTATAACGCATATGTATTAAACGATCCAGGAAACTATTTATCATCAAACGAGTTTTGTTTTCGAAAATTACCAAAGTTAAATAACTGTTTTTCTATAAAATCAGTATTCCGAAGGTTTACGTTAACAGATTCAACCTATCAACATATCAACTTAATTATAACATAAAATTGAGAATGGAAATGGGGAATGTGTCAAAGAGACAACAACCCGACCATAGAACAGACAACAGCAGAAGGTCACCAACAGGTCTTCAATGCAGCGAGAAATTCCCGCACTCGGAGGCGTCCTTCAGCTGGCCCCTAAACAAGTATATATACTAGTTCAGTGATAATGAACGCCATACTAAACTCCAAATTGTACACAAGAAACTAAAATACATGACGCATGATATTTAAGGCCATTTCGATTTCATGTTAGAACAATGATAGACGCAAAGAATTTAGCCTACAAGTACATTTACAGTGAGGCAGAATACAGCATTGATGGTTTTATTTAAATGCAGTTCTAATAAAACAATTATCAACGTTTATAAACTACTTTTAATTGACTTTAAAATCAACAATAACGTACCTGGCGTAATATGTCTTTGATAAAAACACTGTGACAGTATTTAAAAATACACAACCCTTTATGTGTTTTTAATTAATATTTTATACTCTTTAACTTTTATTAATAGTCGTTTGTCTTAACGTTTTGAATAACTGACCTCACAGCATTTCAGTTCACCAGTTTCTCTTCTAACTTATAATATTGTATGAAATTACATATAGAATTTTCGATTTCTTTGTTCGTTATCTGGAAATATTACATGATTCAACTATGCACACAAAATGACATGTGACTCTTAAAATAAAATACTGAAATTTGAAATAATTAATGTAATACATTTTTGACACTTCCAAGGTATTTAATTGGTAGCCATATTATTTTCTGAAAATCGAATGAAAATTGGCTTATTGGGTAATTAGTTATGTAATACACATATTTTACAAAGATATTGATTTGATATTAAGGAGAAATCTAGATTTGATTTTGTTAAAAGGATTATAAAAAGAAGTTTGTGACTAAAACATGATGAGGTGACAATTTTTAATTAAAATAAAACTGTAAAAATCATCATATTTGAGTTGAAACTGAGATCAGTTTTGGATGATAACTAAAATTGCTCATATACAGGGAAAATAAACCCTCTGCAGTTATTCATAATTACATGAACAACTATATTATACCCATACATCCTATTACAGGGCTCCAATGTTGTATTTATTTTTACCACCATTTGACCTGAATGTGCTTTTTGTATCCAAGTTGGAAGAGGTGTTTTTTTGGCAGTTGATGAGTTTTTTTTTTTAATCGATCACACCAAAAATATCTTTATCTATAGATACAAAAATAATAATATTTTAGCTTTGAAATGAGTTAAAGATTTTGAAAAAACATTGAGTAGTTTTGGAAACATTAATCTTTAAAGACTGTTGGTTGGATTAAAACAAGTTTGACTGTAGTGCTACCTTGAAATTAATATGTTTTCTAAATTAACAATTGAACTAGATACAAGTTATAATATATTCTTCACAAAAGGTCAATCTTACGCCAAAAAAAAAAAAATGAAATAACTATAGCTATAAAGGGAAGTATTTTTTTTCAAATTTTGAAGTAAAAAACCGCTTCGATCAGGTCATTTTTATGCGAACAAAACTTCTATTATTTGTTTTAATATATATTTTTTGATATACAGTTGTATAGTTCATAACGTTTTATGCTGTGTTAAGCAATATTGACAAAATGTCCTTGCTTATGTAAAATAATGACACTTCGACTATTCTTTTCAATGTTTCTCATATGATTTTTTTCAGTCATGCAGGTTTATTATCATCCGTTATTTTAATCCTAACGGTAATTGAAGACTCTAATATGCAATTTACTATAGGTTTCTCCTTTGCCGACAAAAAAATCTCCTTTCCTTAATTTTATCCTTTCAGGATAATTTGGTTTAAATAAAACTTCTTTAATAATCCTCTCCAGGATATAAATATGCAAATGATATAAAACCAATCAGAGAACGCCAGCTATTTTATCTCTAGGTCATGTTCCCTTCACAATGGCTGTGCCAGTGTTATTCTATTTAGTAAAAGTGTTCATTGTAATTTCAAAAATGTGTTGCTATATATTAGGTAATGCAATTGTTAATTTGAGGCAAAGAATGTTTTGCCAATAATGTAAACAATGAAATCTGAAATATGAACATAATATATTTTTTGTATATAATTTTCATATTGTATTTAATTATATAATTGCTGTCATCTTGAATGTTTGTATATTGCAAATATTTGGAGAGGATTATGTTAAGTTGTCTTCCTGATCGTTTGTGCTATTTAAATTTTCTATCTATCTATCACAATCTTTATGATATTAGGCAAAGACCGAAAAAAACTAGTAAAAATCGTCATTAAATAGCAGAAATAAGGAGTCGTCTGATGAGTTCGAGATAATAGGGGAAAAAATGGTACAATTCGTCATTTAAAGGCAATAACTTCTATAAGAAGTCGTCTGACAGTTTTGATGTGAATAAACAATAGTTACAGCTTATCATTCCGAACATTTTTGCTTTTTCAGATTTTCTCTATTTTTAACGGTTTTCAAAATAATAGGCAAAACTTGTATTTTACCCCTATGTTCTATTTCTAGCGATATCGGCCATCTTGGTCGGCAAGCTGGGTCATCGGACACATTTTTAAAACTAGATACTCCAATGATTATTGCGAAAAAATTGGTTAAATTTGGCAAAGTGTTTTCAGAGGAGAAGATTTTTGTAAAATTTAACGGACGACGACGCCGACGGACGACGATCGCCATGTGAGTAGAAAAGCTCATTTGGCCTTTCGGCCAGGTGAGCTAATAAAATATCTACACAGAGCAGCTACTTGAATAAAAAAAAATTCTTAAAGCAGGGTAAACACATGAACACTTATTCAGATAGTCAAATAAGGTAGCTGCTGCCCAATTGGCCGGATGCTGCCGTTAATGATTAAAAAAACTCAAAACATCAAACCAATCAGGTACCATGAAATCTCATTACAAATTTGATTGATATTTGAGAGGTCAGTAACTATTTTGCATCACATCAACAAACAAATGACCCATTTTTCTGAATTAGTGAGTCTATCACGCTGTAGTCCGTGATGTTGTTCTTTAATGTTTTAGTTATATAAAAAGTAAAATAACAAAAAAAAAAACGAACTTCAAAGAAAATTCAAATCGGTAAGTACCTTATCAAATGGCAAAATCAAAAGCTCAAACACATTAAACGAATTGAAAACAACTATTCTTGATTTGGTACAGACATTTCCTTATGTAGAAAATGGTGGATTAAATAGCTAGCTAAACCTCTCACTTGTATGAAAGTCGCATATAATTCCATTATATTGACAACAATGTGTGAACAAAACAGACAGACACAATAGAAAAAATGTCAAAAATAAGGGTACAGCATTGAACAAACCTAAAATAAAGGATACAACGGATACAGTTAAGTCTGTCTCATATCATAACTAACATCTAGAACTGACAAAAACAGTTTGATGAGAACAAAACGTTACGACAAAAGAGGCAATTTCAGCTTCCAAATTGTAAACCATTCATTATTATGTAGCAACATTCCAGCAGAACCTGCATATGGAGTATGTATCTCTAAGGTGATTTTCCTGAAGAATTCTTTGATAAAGGGTTGCTGCTTACAAGGAAGCTATTGGACCAAGAGTTCCAACTGGTAAAGTTGAAATCATAAAAATATAAACAGATAAAAAATGTAAAAAACATAGTAAATCTAAAGATTAAAAGTACATGTTTTACATGTCGTAACGTGCACAAAAGTGCATGAATGTGCTGAATAAAATTGTTCATTGTAGTGAGCATAGAATGATTCCGGGTCGTTTATAGTACGCCTGGATTCTGCTGACGGTATAGTGATTCCCAAAGACGTTGAGGAAATATGAAATCTGATAAAATACCCTTGCAATTATTTACAGTGCATCGCCATGAAATAAATATCCCGGACTTAAGTGCTGTGTCGATACGAATGATAAATCCATTGTACACAAATAAAATTCCCCCGATTTGTTTCTGACAAACGAAACTCAATGTGTGTGCCCTGGCGCAACTTTACAAACTTACTTTAATTATTTGTTAAATCGCCATTCGATAAAATTATTAAACAGAATGCTATTTACTCTTTAATATTTGCAATAAACTTACATGTATGTCTTAAGCTATTAGGGGATTTCTCATGATCACTGTATATCTTATCTAGAAGTCAATATGAAAAAGATATAATTTTTAATTTACAAATAGAACATGTTCAAAATTCATATTAACTATAGTCATATTTTTTTTTTTATAAATTATCTTTATTTTACCTGTTTTACCTGTAAAATGAATGCGCGCAAATGTAATCAAAAGCTGCGCATAAACGTCAAAAATTTTAATTCCCAAAATAATCGCAAATGTAATGCTCCTATTAGGAGTAGGTTGACTGCTATATAATATCTGTTTCACAGATGACGACGGATATGTTCGGATTGTTGTAACCACAATGCCGTCCTCTTTTCCTCGAATGTGACCTACCGAAATAGATTTATTAACAGGTTTGTACTTATATGAGCAACACAACGGGTGCCACATATGGAGCAAAATCTGCAAACCCTTCCAGAGCACCTGAGATCACATTTGGAGAGGTTCGTGTTGCTCATTCTTTAGTTTTCTATTATTGTTGTGGTTTGTGTAATTTTGGTTGTCTTTTCGTCGTTTTTCGTTTATTTTCTGTTTGTTTTCGACTTATGAGTTTAGCTGTCCCTTTTGTATCTTTCGACTCTCTATTGTAGTAAAAAAAAGCCAAAAATATAATTAGGACGTAAATAATTAAAAAAAAAATCACTCGGAAATCAATTTTCATGTGGTTTTGAGCGACATGTTATGGAGCATCTGAGATAATCGCGGTGTTTTTGTGGGGTTCATGTTGCTCAGTCGTTAGTTTTCTATGTTGTGTTTTTTTGTATTTTGGACTTTTTCTTTTAATGATATGGCGTTGTAAGTTTATTTTCGACTTATGCGTTTGAATGTTCCTTTGGTATCTTTCGCCTTTTTTTTCGTGTAATGTAAGACGAAAGTAGTTTAACGATGTGAAAATCTCGTAAATCGATTAGAAAGGGAGAAATCTAGGTAACAAACAGAAACTGAGGTAAACGAAGCAGCTAAAAAATGCTTAAACGGGCGCGTTGATAGAGTGAGCGTCTCCTCCTATGTATGCATCATTCACATGCCTATTCACATTCAGTGAAAATGTCAGAATCGGGAATAGGACATTGCTGGTGTAATTACAGATCAGACGCCTTTTCTGGTATTCAAAGATTTCATTTCATCGAAACATGTTGCTAGTGACACCAACACAACTTATCGGTCAATCAAGTCGCGATGGTGACCTTAAGACGTATGTAGTGTCAGGTTGTCATAGATTTTAGTTTGAAGGCCATCTGTGTCAATATCGAGAAAAAGATAAAGATATATGAGACATACCTTCTACTATCGATAGTGTTTATTTTAAGTTCACTAGAATATATGAGATGGGAGATGGAAGATAGAAAACAGTGTTGTTAAATAGGTCGCAAAACTACACCATATCAACCGACAAAAGTTTTCCCGATGAGATGTTTTTCTGACGAATGTCTAAAAAAGAAATAGACTCTGTTTGTAGGACGGACTTGAAAATATTTAAATGTTCATATGACATTCTAAATTTTTCGAAAATTCATTTAACGGTTAATGTTAATAGTCTTCGAACCTTATAAGATGAAGTTATCTTGTTTGAATTCCCTGTTCCGCCTCTTCGTCTTCAGCAGAGTTCTCATGACAGACGGAATGGGTATTTTCCCTAATCATATCAATGAATTCTTTACAATATATGTGTCTTATGACTAATGTTTACCTGTAAATTGGAAAATTGAAAAATAGAAATATCGCAAATGAAACGTTTTTTTAGCGCACATAAAAAGTGAATTGGTGCAAAGGCAAAACTTTTGAATCTAAAGACCTATGATCTTCCCGTGTTTTTGATTGGGTTCGTGTTGCTCATTCTATAATTTTCTAAATATAGTTTTGTAGAATATCATTTGTATTTTCGTCGGTTTAAATGAACTCGAGACCAGTCATCATACAAAAACCTTTCGAAATTGATTTGGATTTCCAACTGTTTTGATTCAAGAGGAGAGGCAAAAAATACCAAACGGATATTGAAATTCATAACTTGAAAACAAACTGACAATGTAATGGCAAAACAAAACGATAAAGACCAAAAGACAAACAACAGTAAACATTACACAACATAGAAAACTAAAGACTGAGCTTCCTTATAAGCAGAAATCATCATAGGAAATGCAAGCACTGAAATATCGTATCTATTCGGAGATATATAACTCTATCACCAGACGCTGTTGCAATGTTGCTACATAGAAATGGAAAGTTCACAATTGTGTCGCTGAAATCATCTCTTTTATCGATAAGTTTTGTTCTCAACCGATCCTTATTGTCAATTTCTAGATGAAAGTCAAGATATGAAGCAGACTTAACTGTATCAGATGTATCCTTTAGTTTAAGTTCAGTGGAATAAATGGGTTCAACATAGTCACCAAACTTTGAATTATTTAGTGAGATAAAATAATCTCTAGCGGAAAGTGAAGTTAAAGAATAATGCTAGCTTTGTTTTCATGCTTCTAAAAAGCTCCTGTATGAGGTCAACTTCATTTGAATAAAGGAACAAGTCGTCAAGAAGAAGAGCACAGTTGGTTCCAACGGAAATGTCGATTGTTTGTTGAAAAACACGGTTTGCAAACGTCTCACATGACTCTTATGTAAAGATATTTCGCGTTTAACATACTAGTATTGAAATGTAAGCGTAGTGTCTGTGATAAGTTTGTACAACTGCTAGGTGATGTCACAGCTGGTCAACAGTTTTGTCCCAAGGATATCACTATCCTAGAAGTCAGTCCTCTTTGAATGAAATATAATTTAACCGGTAATTTTTCATTAATTTACTGTTGATAAAATGTAAAAATATTCAATACGCTTGTGTGTCTTTTACCATTAGGCATATATGACCTTACACTTGTAGACTGTTGGTTTAAAGATTCGAACACCAATGAGTAATCTTATATAAACGTTATTTGTGTCTAGCTTTCTTACTTTTAAGTATTGTAACATAAGAATTGCATTTTTGTTTGTTATTTCACTTATGTAAAAATATCGATCAAAGCACATTTTTGCATGAAGTACTGAACAGTGTGTGCAATATCAACTTCCCTATAAAATTTCAAAACAAATCTAATTTAATTATTTCATTTTCATTGCATTTTTCCGCTACTTCTTAAACGTTGATAGAGAGGCGAAAGATACCAAAGTCGAAAATAAACTGACAACGCCATAGAAAAAAAAAAACCAAAAGACAAACACCAGTACACAAACAAAACATAGAAAACTAAAGACTGACCAACACGAACTCCACCGAAACCCGGGATGATCTCAGGTTCTCTGGAAGGGTAAGCATATTATGCGCTACATTTGGCACCCGTTGTATTGCTCATTTAAGTACAAACCTGGTGATATACCTAATTCAGTAGGTCACATTCGGAGAAAAAAGAACGGGATTTTGGTTACGACAATTGGAACATATATGTCGTCATATTTGTTGATAGGGAAATGTGTATCATCTAGGATATATACAATATCTGTTTATGAAAGAAAGGCAAACACATTTTGCTTTACCAAAATTTATTTTCTCGTATCGATTCTTCTCAACCCTAGAAATAAGATAGAAATAAATTAACAAATGGTCAATTTAAAAATGTCAAGCATGATGTAAAAAGCTGTTTATTATTGTTATTCACATGTCACGTTTTTACCCAGCATTGCTATGTTTTAAATGATGCATTTCACGACATCGTATTTATATCTAACTAGAAAAAAAAAATATTAGCAGAATTGTTACTTTTAGCAGTCGAAATGATTAATGTCGATTAATATGGTTCTTTCCAATATTTTACTAAATTTCATAAATTGTAGTATATAAAATTGCATCATTATAAAGTGTTTTGAAAGTATAGCATGTCTTGATATGATGGAAAGTATTTATTGTTTGACACATTGAATACATATTTGTTGATATTATTGATTAAGACATATGATCTTTGGGTCGCTGTTTCATTCATGGATAATTTACAACCAACAAATTCGTTGTATTAGCGATACAAATATTAATTGACAGTTTCCTCAAAGTCCTTGCAAGCAGGTTTTTGTGAATGAAAGATCAATGCTTCTCTATTCTGACGCAGTATAATATGCACATCATATAACGTAATAGCATAAAAGTACAAATTTAACTGCAGCAGATGCACATTTCTACAATTTATGAATCTTCAGTGATGCTGGAGGCAAAAATATTGGAAAATCCAAAACGCACAATTTAATACAAGCATTTATTTATTTTAAAATGCTCTAAAAATTAGTTGTTACTGGTTTCATTTAGTAACTTCGACTACTTGTAAAGCAGTACTGTGTGTCTTTAGCCTTTTTTGTTGTTTTTGTGCTTTGTGTCGATCTGCAAGGTCAAGCCTTTTTCAGCTGAGTGCTACATTTTTTTTTAATTTTGATTTACACCTTTGTCCCAGATTAGGTGCGGGATGAGTGCTCGAACACATAATTGACCCCGCCACATGTTTCATGTCGGGGACTTTTGTAACCTGCTGTACGGTATTGGTTTTGCTAATTTCCGATGGCCGGTAAGTGATTCACAGTGGCTTAAATCGACGTAATATGGTTTGTAGTGGATAGTTGCTTCACTGATAAGCATGCCACATTTCCATATTATTGTATCAAAGAGCTGATAAAACTTAGAACATCCAAAAGGGCAGTTTAGCTGGACAGGGAATAGAGATAAACATATAGGAGAAACATTACCTAATATCTAAAAAAAAGTTTCAACAGCAAATTTTAATAAAGCAATATCCGTATTTTTATGCTAGTACCAAATACATTAACGATAAGTTGTAGATTCTTAATAGTAGGAGTTGACATACCATAATTAATGCCTAGTCCTGAAAGCAAAATAAATTGATATATATATTACTGACCACACGGTGCTAAAATTGAAAACTGTTAAATCAAAATGACTGTTATATGACAATCTATGACAAACGTGATGTATTAAAGTTTGTCAACATCCCATTTCTCAGCAGTAAAATACCCTCTGCTCTATCGTATGGCATTTACACATCGCAGTTAATACGTTATTACCAGGGTGTGATTTTACACCACAACTGCTCCAACAGAGTTATGACAAAGAACGATTTAAATTGAAACAACATAAGTTTAATATCACAATACAAATTGGTTGACCGATCACGATGTGTTAGTGTCGGTGTTTAACCCACCATTTTCTTTGAAAAAATGCCTGTTCCAAGTCAGGTATATGACAGTTGTTTTCCGTTCGTGCCGTTAGTTGATAACGTTTAACGTTTGAATCTGTCAGTTGTTATGGACTTCCCCTTTTTCAATTATCCTTGAAATTCGATAGTTTTGTTAATACCTTTTTTTCTAACTCACTGGCGATATGTTTTCCGTGATTTTATATCTTCAGATAGCAGTGTAGTCGTTTGATCAGTAATTCCACCAATTGTGTCCTATTTCCGATTGTGACATTTTTATTGAGTGTGATCGCGCATTGTTTGTGATGCATGCATACACAGCAGGAGATGCATGACTTGTCGATGCACCGGTCTCGCTCTTTTTTAAGTTCATGAGTTTACCTCAGTTTTTTTTTTGTTACCTTGATTTGTCTGTTTCCTTATCGATTTACGACATTTTACCATCGATAGACAGTCGCCTTATTTCATATAATTGCAGTGTATACTTGGCATACGACTAAGAAAGGAATATGGTATATACATTAATTAACTTTTGATATTTACTTTAATTGTATGTCTTATACTGTAGATTTTGTATGCTTAATAATACAGCATGCTTTTTATTAAACAGTTAATATGTAAATGGTTAAAACCTTGATGAAATAACCATTATTCTCATTTAAGAAAAAGTTTCTGTTAATCAATTCCTGACTTGGTACAGCCATTTCCTGATGTAGAAAATGGTGGATAAAACCTGGTTAAATTTGATACATTCCCTGTCAAGTTAAAACACCAGTTTCTGACATTCTGATTGACCAAGATATTCTAAGCGTCGACAAGGCGGCTTGGCAACACAAGAGGACCAAATCTGAATGTCTTAATTTGTTTAGAACATTTCAACATGCCAATGAAAGGTTTTTTTAAATCTAGCATTACCTCCATATTGTGAAATAATGTGCTGTTTCCTCAGATATCCAAAACAGCTACTTCTACTATGAAATCGTTGATAACAATCAATCCACAGACCATAAAACCGACGTGCACTACATGTCAGTTGATATGCTGAGGTAAAAAAGAAATGAAATAAAACAACAAAAAAAGCAATTTATATCATTAAAAGCATGGACGCATTTAGACATTTTTTTTGAGGAACATAAACAAATAATTAATTCTAACACAAACAAAGCAATATCATTTTACAAATTATGACACCATGGAAAAATTCCGGATCTGTTCTATTTGAATATCAAACTTCATTAAATCTAATCTACCTATGATTTTTTGTTTTAATTTATTTTATTTCAAAAATGTCTGTGGAAAGAATTAATTTTTACATAACTTTTCAATGACATCCTACCACAAAAATATGTTTGTCAAAATTCATGATTTTAAGCAAATACTTAGTTTTCCTATTTGAATCAATTTGGGATACCATGTTGGACCTATTGTCTATTGTTGTTGCATATAGTCAAACATATAATTCTCAGAACTAGGGATTTTGCCACAAATTATCATGTTTACATCAAATCTGACACCGGGAAGCAATTTTGAAAAGCATATTATACATGTTATACCTATTCATCAATTTTCATTGTAATCGACAATTCTCAAAATTGGTGGTTATTGAACAAAAAAGAGTGTTTTTTGGTGAAATCTAGTTTTTAACGCAATTTGTTCATCCAATTTTTCACAAAGTGTTCCACAGAAATCAATTTGAGCTAAATTTAAACCAACGGTTCAGTTTTCAAAATTCTGGCATGAAAAGATGTTTCTCAAAATTTGTGATTTTGTAACAAACATCTTAGTTTTTCCAAATCAATGGTCCCATTTTAGCTAAAAAAACAATATGCTCATCTATAAAACCAGGTTCAATCCACCATTTTCTACATTTGAAAATGCCTGTACCAAGTCAGGAATATGACAGTTGTTGTCCATTCGTTTGATGTGTTTTGTCATTTGATTTTGCCATGTGATTAGGGACTTTCCGATTGAATTTTCCTCGGAGTTCAGTATTTTTGTGATTTTACTTTCTACATTGTATTTACAACATCTGGCCTCCTCCCATACTTTTTATTTAGCTTTTTTGTTTACACAAACTAATTTTTAATATTTTCAATTTCTAAATATAAACTGAATTGTTTTTCCAAAATCAATGTGTAAATCTTCATAAAAAAATATAATGCACATCTTAATATGGTACACATCACTGCGTTATATTTCATTCGCCGCTTTCATAATGCTTTTGGAGTTTTTAATGTTGGTTCAAAGCTGCATATCAAACTATATTTCTTATTGGTATCGTGGTAGCCGCATGTGACAATTTATTTAGCATCTAACTCAAATATATATTGGATTGCTCAAATTTGTCGAGCCTATTGAAATATTGGCTGCAGATGCCACGATGAAATAAAAATAATGATAACCCTGAAATGGAAAAAGGGTGAGTGACATGTTTGTCATTATACTTTGGCTATAAAGTTTGTTAAAAACTAAGAAATTTTAACTAATAACACGATTTCTATTTGTAAAATGATAACTGATTGTTTCTTTTGTCCTCCCCCTAGAATACCGTAAGAGCATTTCATTTTTATGTCCTTGTCATATGAAATAAATAGCGTTTGACGTTGCAAAAATAATATATGATTGCAAAAAACTATTACGACAAAGACTGAATTACAAGCTATTAAACGGCACTTACAGAATTTTCATCAAATCGAGATAATGTCAAGATTTATATGACTAGAATAAAACATTTAAAACACTACTTAAAAAATTATATTTTGATTCATTCGACAATTATAATACGTTCGTTGGACATAATCTACCTCAGTTCAAATACTCACAACAATCGTCAAAATGTGCAGTTAAAGGATAACTTACGTTTTGCAAACACTATTTACTTCGAATAAAACTTAATTATTAGGACTCTGAGAACATTTAATTGTAAATGTAGATCTCTCATTTCTATAATGTGACTTTTACGTTCTTTGTTTTATGGCTGTGTCCTCGACAAGAACACAAATTTCATTAAACTCATAAATAGGTAGTTAACCTACCTCGACCGTTGTAATTGAATCTACTACCAATGATTTTAAATCCATTGAATCTGTTGTAGTAATCGTTGTAACTTATATGAGGTCCACTGATAAATCTTGTATCGTACCCGTTAACTCCTATGCCATCTCCTTTACAAAATAATAAAATATTTCATCACAAAAACATTTTCATATTTAGCTAATATTCTAAGCATAAAATATGAAGGGAATACTATCGATCTGAAGATTTATTTTCTGAAATATGAATATTAGAATTGAGAAAAGCAACCTAAATACGATATCAAGCAGAAGTCGTTGGAACAAATTATATGATACTTTATCATTGGCAATTAAAATGAATAAAAAAAACAACCAAGGATCTCAGTGCCGCATGAAACTATTTATGCTTTAGATACCACCTTGTTATTTATATAATTTTTTTCACACGTACCAAAATCCAAATACTTTCACATTATCCCCGTAATGCGCACACATATCTATAAAGGTAATGTATATGTTCCTGTGTAGAATTTTAAAACGTAAAATCTATTGCCTTATATCCTTCGATCGAATTTGATTTTAAGATTATATGTATGACTAAGGAATGTCACAAGCTTTCAATAACTAAATATAAGACAATATTACCTCCAAACGGTGCAAATAGCCCTTGTGTTCTCAGATATCCAAAGCATCTACTTCTACTATGGTATCTAGTATAACAGTTACCCCAAAGACTGTAAAACTGACTACTACTGCATGTCAGTCGATACGCTTGGATAAAAGTAAATGTGATACATCAGTAACGCATTTAAATATCAATATTTACATTGTTTGATGGACTTATTGATTACTTGGTCCTTAACACAACTTTCAACACTATTGTATTATTTTTGGCAGTCTGATTTTTTTGGTGAAAAAAGAGTTAGTCCCCTGACAGAATAACCAATCTTCGGTAGGAAAACTGACAATCATGGTCAATTAAGATTGGAGTTGAACGCACCTGATACGTGCCGGATGAAAACTAACAAACTCAGTGTTGACAGGCCAGTGATACATTAGTTCAACTTTATAGACCACTCGGCCACCAAGGCCCTTTTAATTGTTGGATGCTGGACGCTATTTCATAAGCTTTTTTAAACAAGCTTTACATGAGTTTTGCTCCTATTTGCATTTGTAATGAACATTAAATGCAGATATCTTCTTTTTCGTTGGATGCAACACAATAAGGAGTTAACGTCAATGCGACAGCGACCCAAACACACATAAGCACTAAAACTGATCTATCATATTCTATTTTATTTAAAAATAAGGAGATGGGGTCACTCTCCATCAAAGAACAAAAGATGTACGCTGTGATAAAAAGTTAATATAAAAACATTAACTATTACCTACATGCCATAAATTCAATCTTTGGATGGTACACTGAAATTCATAATCACGAAATAATTTGGTCTTTTTCTTATAAAAAAATTATTCAGTATTATTATTTAGATATATTAGGAGCACGAACATAGTGCCATTGACACAACCGTCCCTCTTTTAAATGTTCATTAAGTTTAGTTTACCAAAACTGGCAGTTTAGAGCTTAATTTTGCATTTTTTGGCAGCATGATGTTTTTCCAATAAATCTGTCTTATTGAGATTCTCAGAAGATTTGTTCTGTCAATGTGGAGCTCTCATGTCTACCATATAGCTTCTAGCTATAATTATGTATTGACTTTGATTCTCGAATTGTTGTCTTTAATTCATTTAAACTAATAAACAAATAGTTAACTTACCTAAACCGTTGTACTGAAATCTACTACCAACGATTTTAAATCCATGGTATCTGTTATAGTAATCGTTGTAACTTATATAAGGTCCACTGATAAATCTAGTATCATACCCGTTAACTCCTATGCCATCTCCTTTAAAAAATTATAAAATATTTCATCACAACAACATTTTCATATCTAACTAATATTCTAAGCATAAAATATGAAGGGAATACTATCAATTTGAAAATTTATTTTCTGAAATATGAATATTAGAATTGAGAAAAGCAACCTAAATACGATATCAAGCAGAAGTTGTTGGAACAAATTATATGATACTGTATCATTGGCAATTAAAATGCATAAAAAAAACAACCAAGGATCTCAGTGCCGCATGAAACTATTTATGCCCTAGATACCATCTTGTTATTTCTATAATTTGTTTCACACGTACCAAAATCCAAATACTTTCAAATTATCCCCGACATGCGCACACATATCTATAAAGGTAATGTATATCTTCCTGTGTAGAATTTTAAAACGTAAAATCTATTGCCTTATTTCCTTTGATCGAATTTGATTTTAAGATTATATGTATGACTAAGGAATGTCACAAGCTTTCAATAACTAAGTATAAGACAATATTACCTCCAAACGGTGCAAATAGCCCTTGTGTTCTCAGATATCCAAAGCATCTACTTCTACTATGGTATCTAGTATAACAGTTACCCCAAAGACTGTAAAACCGACTACTACTACATGTAAGTCGATACGCTGGGATAAAGTAAATGTGATACATTCAGTAATGCATATAAATATCAATATTTATATTGTTTGGTGGATTTATTGATTAATTGGTCGTGAACACATCTTCAACACTATTGTATTATTTTGTGGCGGATAGATTTTATTTGTGAAAAAAGAGATAGTCCCCTGACAGAATAACCAATCTTCGGTAGGAAAACTGACAATCTTGTTCAATTAAGATTGGAGTTGAACGCACCTGATACGTGCCGGATTGAAACTAACAAACTCAGTGTTGACAAGCCAGTGATACAGTAGTTAAATTTCATAGACCACTCGGCCACCAAGGCCCTTTTAATTGTTGGATGCTGAAAGATATTTCATCAGCTTTTTTAAACAAGCATTACATTAGTTTTGCTCCTCTTTGCATTTTAATGAACATTTAATGCAGATATCTTCTTTTTCGTTGGATGCAACACAATAAGGAGTTAACGTCAATACGACAACGACCCAAACACACATAAGCACTAAAATTGATCTATCATATTCTATTTTATTTGAAAATAAGGAGATGGGGTCACTCTCCATCAAAGAACAAAAGATGTACGCTGTGATAAAAAGTTAATAGTAAAACATTAACTATTACCTACATGCCATAAATTCAATCTTTGGACGGTACACTGAAATTCATAATCACGAAATAATTTGGTCTTTTTCTTATAAAAAAATTATTCAGTATTATTATTTAGATATATTAGGAGTACGAACATAGGGCCATTGACACAACCGGCCCTCTTTTAAATGTTCATTAAGTTTAGTTTACCAAAACTGGCAGTTTAGAGCTTAATTTTGCATTTTTTGGCAGCATGATGTTTTTCCAATAAATCTGTCTTATTGAGATTCTCAGAAGATTTGTTCTGTCAATGTGAAGCTCTCATGTCTACCATATAGCTTCTAGCTATAATTATGTATTGACTTTGATTCTCGAATTGTTGTCTTTAATTCATTTAAACTAATAAACAAATAGTTAACTTACCTAAACCATTGTACTGAAATCTACTACCAACGATTTTAAATCCATGGTATCTGTTATAGTAATCGTTGTAACTTATATAAGGTCCACTGATAAATCTAGTATCATACCCGTTAACTCCTATGCCATCTCCTTTAAAAAATTATAAAATATTTCATCACAACAACATTTTCATATCTAACTAATATTCTAAGCATAAAATATGAAGGGAATACTATCAATTTGAAAATTTATTTTCTGAAATATGAATATTAGAATTGAGAAAAGCAACCTAAATACGATATCAAGCAGAAGTTGTTGGAACAAATTATATGATACTGTATCATTGGCAATTAAAATGCATAAAAAAAACAACCAAGGATCTCAGTGCCGCATGAAACTATTTATGCCCTAGATACCATCTTGTTATTTCTATAATTTGTTTCACACGTACCAAAATCCAAATACTTTCAAATTATCCCCGACATGCGCACACATATCTATAAAGGTAATGTATATCTTCCTGTGTAGAATTTTAAAACGTAAAATCTATTGCCTTATTTCCTTTGATCGAATTTGATTTTAAGATTATATGTATGACTAAGGAATGTCACAAGCTTTCAATAACTAAGTATAAGACAATATTACCTCCAAACGGTGCAAATAGCCCTTGTGTTCTCAGATATCCAAAGCATCTACTTCTACTATGGTATCTAGTATAACAGTTACCCCAAAGACTGTAAAACCGACTACTACTACATGTAAGTCGATACGCTGGGATAAAGTAAATGTGATACATTCAGTAATGCATATAAATATCAATATTTATATTGTTTGGTGGATTTATTGATTAATTGGTCGTGAACACATCTTCAACACTATTGTATTATTTTGTGGCGGTCAGATTTTATTTGTGAAAAAAGAGATAGTCCCCTGACAGAATAACCAATCTTCGGTAGGAAAACTGACAATCTTGTTCAATTAAGATTGGAGTTGAACGCACCTGATACGTGCCGGATTGAAACTAACAAAGTCAGTGTTGACAGGCCAGTGATACAGTAGTTAAATTTCATAGACCACTCGGCCACCAAGGCCCTTTTAATTGTTGGATGCTGGAAGATATTTCATCAGCTTTTTTAAACAAGCATTACATTAGTTTTGCTCCTCTTTGCATTTTAATGAACATTTAATGCAGATATCTTCTTTTTCGTTGGATGCAACACAATAAGGAGTTAACGTCAATACGACAACGACCCAAACACACATAAGCACTAAAATTGATCTATCATATTCTATTTTATTTGAAAATAAGGAGATGGGGTCACTCTCCATCAAAGAACAAAAGATGTACGCTGTGATAAAAAGTTAATAGTAAAACATTAACTATTACCTACATGCCATAAATTCAATCTTTGGACGGTACACTGAAATTCATAATCACGAAATAATTTGGTCTTTTTCTTATAAAAAAATTATTCAGTATTATTATTTAGATATATTAGGAGTACGAACATAGTGCCATTGACACAACCGTCCCTCTTTTAAATGTTCATTAAGTTTAGTTTACCAAAACTGGCAGTTTAGAGCTTAATTTTGCATTTTTTGACAGCATGATGTTTTTCCAATAAATCTGTCTTATTGAGATTCTCAGAAGATTTGTTCTGTCAATGTGGAGCTCTCATGTCTACCATATAGCTTCTAGCTATAATTATGTATTGACTTTGATTCTCGAATTGTTGTCTTTAATTCATTTAAACTAATAAACAAATAGTTAACTTACCTAAACCATTGTACTGAAATCTACTACCAACGATTTTAAATCCATGGTATCTGTTATAGTAATCGTTGTAACTTATATAAGGTCCACTGATAAATCTAGTATCATACCCGTTAACTCCTATGCCATCTCCTTTAAAAAATTATAAAATATTTCATCACAACAACATTTTCATATCTAACTAATATTCTAAGTATAAAATATGAAGGGAATACTATCAATTTGAAAATTTATTTTCTGAAATATGAATATTAGAATTGAGAAAAGCAACCTAAATACGATATCAAGCAGAAGTTGTTGGAACAAATTATATGATACTGTATCATTGGCAATTAAAATGCATAAAAAAAACAACCAAGGATCTCAGTGCCGCATGAAACTATTTATGCCCTAGATACCATCTTGTTATTTCTATAATTTGTTTCACACGTACCAAAATCCAAATACTTTCAAATTATCCCGACATGCGCACACATATCTATAAAGGTAATGTATATCTTCCTGTGTAGAATTTTAAAACGTAAAATCTATTGCCTTATTTCCTTTGATCGAATTTGATTTTAAGATTATATGTATGACTAAGGAATGTCACAAGCTTTCAATAACTAAGTATAAGACAATATTACCTCCAAACGGTGCAAATAGCCCTTGTGTTCTCAGATATCCAAAGCATCTACTTCTACTATGGTATCTAGTATAACAGTTACCCCAAAGACTGTAAAACCGACTACTACTACATGTAAGTCGATACGCTGGGATAAAGTAAATGTGATACATCAGTAATGCATATAAATATCAATATTTATATTGTTTGGTGGATTTATTGATTAATTGGTCGTGAACACATCTTCAACACTATTGTATTATTTTGTGGCGGTCAGATTTTATTTGTGAAAAAAGAGATAGTCCCCTGACAGAATAACCAATCTTCGGTAGGAAAACTGACAATCTTGTTCAATTAAGATTGGAGTTGAACGCACCTGATACGTGCCGGATTTAAACTAACAAACTCAGTGTTGACAGGCCAGTGATACAGTAGTTAAATATCATAGACCACTCGGTCACCAAGGCCCTTGTAATTGTTGGATGCTGGACGATATTTCATAAGCTTTTTTAAACAAGCTTTACATTAGTTTTGCTCCTATTTGCATTTTTAATGAACATTTAATGCAGATATCTTCTTTTTCGTTGGATGCAACACAATAAGGAGTTAACGTCAATGCGACAGCGATCCAAACACACATAAGCACTAAAATTGATCTATCATATTCTATTTTATTTAAAAATAAGGAGAATGGGTCACTCTCCATCAAAGAACAAAAGATATACGCTGTGATAAAAAGTTAATAGTAAAACATTAATTATTACCTACATGCCATACATTCAATCATTGGACAGTACACGGTAATTCATAATCACGAACTAATTTGGTATTTTTCTAATGAAAAAAAATATTGAGTATAATCATTTAAATACATTAGGTGTACGAAAATAGTGCGTTTGACACAACCGTCCCTCTTTTAAATGTTCATTAAGTTTAGTTTACCAAAACTGGCAGTTTAGACCTAAATTTTGCGTTTTTTGGCAGCATGATGTTTTTCCAATAAAACTGTTTTATTGAGATTCTCAGAAGATTTGTACTATCAATGTGGAGCTCTCATGTCTATCATATAGCTTCTAGTTATAATTATTTTTTGATTTTGATTCTCGAATTTTTGTCTTTTATTCAATTAAACTAATAAACAAATAGTTAACTTACCTAAACCATTGTACTGAAATCTACTACCAACGATTTTAAATCCATGGTATCTGTTATAGTAATCGTTGTAACTTATATGAGGTCCACTGATAAATCTAGTACCGTACCCGTTAACTCCTATGCCATCTCCTTTACAAAATTATAAAATATTTCATCACAACAACATTTTCATATCTAACTAATATTCTAAGCATAAAATATGAAGGGAATACTATCAATTTGAAAATTTATTTTCTGAAATATGAATATTAGAATTGAGAAAAGCAACCTAAATACGGTATCAAGCAGAGGTTTATGGAACAAATTATATAATACTGTATCATTGGCACTTAAAATGCATAAAAAACAACCAAGGATCTCAGTGCCGCATGAAACTATTTATGATTTAGATACCATCTTGTTATTTCTATAATTTGTTTCACACGTACCAAAATCCAAATACTTTCACATTATCCCCGACATGCGCACACACATCTATAAATGTAATGTATATGTTCCTGTGTAGAATTTTAAAACGTAAAATCTATTGCCTTATTTTCTTCGATCGAATTTTATTTTTGGATTATATATATGACTAACGAATGTCACAAGCTTTCAATAACTAAGTATAAGACAATATTGTCTCCAAACGGTGCAAATAGCCCTAATGTTCTCGGATACCCAAAGCATCTACTTCTACTATGGTATCTAGTATAACAGTTACCCCAAAGACTGTAAAACCGACGACGACTACATGTAAGTCGATACGCTGGGATAAAAGTAAATGTGATACATTAGTAATGCATTTAAAATATCAATATTTACATTGTTTGATGGATTTATTGATTAATTGGTCCTTAACGCAATTTTCACCACTATTGTATTATTTTGGGGCGGTCAGATTTTATTTGTGAAGAAATCTTTAGTCCCCTGACAGAATAACCAACCTTCGGTAGGAAAACTGACAATCTTGGTCAATTAAGATTGAAGTTGAACGCACCTGATACGTGCCGGATTCAAATACAGTAGTTCAACTTCTTAGACCACTCGGCTACCGAGGCCCTTCTCATTGTTGGATGCTCAACGATTATTCATGAGCTTTTTTAAACAAGCATTACATTAGTTTTGCTCCTATTTGCATTTTTAATTAACATTTGATGCAGATATCTTTTTTTTCGTTGGATGCATTACAATAAGGAGTAAACGTCAATGCGACCCAAACATACATAAGCACTAAAATTGATCTATCATATTCTATTTTATCTATCAAAAAGAAGATGGGGTCACTCTCCATCAAAAGATGTACGCTGTGATTAAAGTTGATAGTAAAACATTAATTATTACCTAAAGGCCATAAATTCAATCATTGGACGGTACACTGTAATTCATAATCACGAACTGATTTGGTCTTTTTTTATAAAAAAAGAATCGAATATAATTATATAGATACATAAGGTGTACGAAAATAGTGCGTTTGGCACAACCGTTCCTCTTTTAAATGTTCATAAAGTTTAGTTTACCAGAACCAGCAGTTAAAAGCTTAATTTATCTTTTTTTGCCAGCATGATGTGTTTCCAATAAAACTGTCTTATTTAGACTCTCAGAAGATTTGTACTGTCAATGTGGAGTTCTCAGGTCTATCATATAGCTTCTAGCTATAAATAAAGGCAACAGTAGTATTCCGCTGTTCAAAAGTCATAAATCGATTGAGAGAAAACAAATCCGGGTTACAATCTAAAACAGAGGGAAACACATCAACTATGAGAGGAAAACAACGGAACAGCAGAAACGATGAAGTCCAACAAAAACAAACGCAAACATACATAGAAACGACCTATTTGATAACAACTGCCGTATTCCTGACTTGGTACAGGACATTTTAAGAAAAAATGGTGGGTTGAACGTGGTTTTATGGCCACACCTCCCGCTTATATGGCAATGTTAAAAAATATCGCTAAAATGACAAAACTACGTGACAGAAATATAGCACAAACAAACGCAAGAACACTCACCACAGAGAAACGCACAAATAAATAATATAATAGTCGTAACAACATGTAAACCGCAGAATAACAACGAACATCTTCCATTAACGATAGCACAGGACATCACACACAGTGACGTATTTTTGTAACGAATATATAATCTTGAAATTCATATAATTATTTTAACAATACTAGTCCAATAACCAAAAAATTATCATGACTATGACGGTATTGAAAGGCTATTTTAAATAAATGCTGTGACGACGTCATAATTATTTGGACTAACACAACACTTTATTCATGGAAAATGGAAATTAACTCGACTATACTGACAAATAAGATATATGTGAAATGTACCGAAAATACAGAATTCAAACCACAAACGATAAGACATAACACAATATCCAACCGAAACCACAACAGAAACATCAAAAATAAATATATGAATGTTGGATGTATAAATACCGAGACACGTCGTATAGCAATGCAAATTCACACTTGGCAAAACAGTCATATTCGGGAATAGGTCACATTCGGTACTTAGAAGACAGACGACATAGATGTTAAACCACAATTTAAGACGTGGAAAAATTGCCATTAGTTAGTTTAGACACAGACACATCGTATAGAACAACCAAATCGTGATGGTGTCCATAAAATTTACGGAGTGTCATTTGTAATCTTTCCTCCTCATAACTCTGTTGGAGCAATTTCTGCGTAAGGAGCACACTCCGGTATATGAAGTCCGTATAGGGTGAACATGCACGAGCATAACGTATCAATTGAGATATGTAAACACCATACGACGGAGCAGAGGGTATGTTACTGCTGAGAAATGGGAAATTGATAATTGGGAAGTTGAAATCATTCCCTTTGTCATAGATTTTAGTGTGAAGTCGTCCATCTGTGTCAATATTATGGAAAAGATCAAGGTATGAAGCAGTCCTTCTAGTATTAGTAGTATCCTTAATTTCAAGTTCACTGGGATATATGAGATGCAAGTACTGACTGAAATATGGGTTATTCATTGATAGGACATCATCAATATATCTGAAAGTAAAATTAAAGAATTTTACAAGGTGCTTTTCCTTTTTATCTTTGAGAAGGTTCTATAATTGATTCTTGACTTTGATTCTCGAGTATTTGTCTTTAATTCAATTAAACTAATAAACAAATAACTAACTTACCTAAACCATTGTACTGAAATCTACTATCAACGATTTTAAATCCATGGTATCTGTTATAGTAATCGTTGTAACTTATATGAGGTCCACTGATAAATCTAGTATCGTACCCGTTAACTCCTATGCCATCTCCTTTACAAAATAATAAAATATTTCATCACAACAACATTTTCATATCTAGCTAATATTATAAGCATAAAGTATGAAGGGAATACTATCGGTTTGAAACTTTTTTTTCTGAAATATGAATATTAGAATTGAGAAAAGCAACCTAAATACGGTATCAAGCAGAGGTATATGGTACAAATTATATGATACTGTATCATTGGCACTTAAAATGCATAAAAAAAAAAAACAAAGGATCTTAGTGCCGCATGAAACTATTTGTGCTTTAGATACCATTTTGTTATTTCTATAATTTGTTTTGCACGTACTAAATTCCAAATACATTCACATTATCCCCCACATGCGCACACATATCTATAAAGGTAATGTATATTTTCCAAACAGTGCAAATAGCTCTTGTGTTCTCAGATATCCAAAGCATCTACTTCTACTATGGTATCTAGTGTAACAGTTAATTCAAAGACTATAAAACCGTCTTCTATTACATCTCAGTACATACGCTGTATCATAATTTGATTTGATCAAGTTTACAATTAAATTTTGATGGGCTTCATTCCACTTTTTTCAATAAAACATGCTGTTTCCTTTGACCGTTTAAGATTTAACGTTAATACGTACGTAAAACCTTGCCATATCCATACAGTTCACTTAAACCTAATTATAAACCATTGTAAGAGAATCTATTATCAACAATTTTGAATCCATGATATCTGTTGAAGTATCTGTGGTAACTTATACTATAACCATGATGGAATACAACACGATGTCCTTTTTTCAAAAAAAAAATCAATATAAAAAGTATATTTTCAGTGTTTTAGGGTACAAATTAAAAACCTCGTGAGATCTTAAGTCAATCACCAAATCTTTTGTGAATCTATTTAAAAATCCAGTGTTTCATACATCTTCCTTCCAGTAAATAAATTAATGTAAGTTTTGAAAACCCATATGAAAAAGTTAAAAAAGTCATTCCCAGCTCCAATTACTCGCAATAAGTGCAAAACTGCAAAAACTGCCAAAGTAGGATCATTTTGAGATATTTTCATCCATCTTTAGATATGTACAAAGCCTTTAACTAAAACAATATTTTGCTACAAGATGTTTATTACAGAGGTGTTAAGATGTGAAAAAATATATCTTTTGGAAAGACCTTTACTCATATCTAGTTCGTTCAAAAACTATGAGTAAAAACCCAATATCAGGTCCAATATGTCCATTCTCCTTGTTCATTACATCAAAGTGACATAACGTGTGACAGTTCTGTAATATAGTGACCCGATTTTATCAACCTTTCCATTTATCAATTAAATTATCTAATCTTGTAAAGTCTTTAATATGTCTTCTTGTAATTTCGTGGACTAAACAACATCTCTTATTATACTTCTTTCTATATTTTAGTTCTATTAAAAACATAAATTATCCGAAGTTGTTTCCCTTTATGGAGCTAAAAATTTATTATGAATAAATATAAATAGTGTTAGAAATATTTCAAAATTTCATTACAGTTCATTTATTGAAAATGACCGTATGAAAGATTTTTCATGTCCACATTGAAGTGCCGAATATGGGCATGGAGTTCCTCAAACACGAAATATCCAACTTTGCATTTATTTGCAAGTGTAAAAATGTCCCTTTTAAAACAATTTCGATTAAGAACTTCTGTTTACAAAGACGGATATTCATTAGTAGAATTTTCATTTTTGGTTTTGCATTCACGACCTTTTACAAAGTATGCTTTCTTTAAATGTTTGCAGAAGAGCAGCAAATTGCAGCCCCTTAGTCGACCATCTTTTAAGTGTTTATTATTTTGGTTTGCTTGAAGTTCATGTAGTTTACGTATGATCCTAATTTCAACAAGAAAAAAACGTAAAATTCCTTACAAATGCATATTCACATCGATATATATACACGGTATATTTATTGAACCATCCTCCTATAAAATGTTGTTGGTTGAAAAACTGAAAGAGAGTCCTAGGAACAATCAACTCCCGGACATATAGAGGTCGATATATAATCTTCACTGATTTTGAAGTTAACATACGATCTATAAGGAAGTATAATCGTTCATATTATATATCAAGCGTACCATCGTGTCTTCACAAGATGAGAATAAATCATAAAGCAAATATCGACATTTTGCTGTCAATACCTGCTATATTTAATACAAAAACAGGAATTCGTATCCTAACTGAAGAAGTATACAACCTTTAAATAGGAAAATGCCTGTACCAAGTAAGGAATATGGCAGTTGTTTTTACTTGTTCCGTTGATTGTAGCGTTTCATTTTGTCAGTTTTTATGGACTTCCCCTTTTTGAATTTGCCTTGGAGTTCAGTATTTTTTGTTATACTGTTTTGCTCATAACAAAATTTTCAAAGTGCGATATTTACGACACCATAATGTGGTTTTATTCGATTTTTGATGCGATTTTATTTGGTTTTTGGAGTATTTTTATTTAATTTTTAGTTTCCGCTGGTGTTTATTTTTGTCTGTCCCTTTTTGTGATAAAAATTTAGTTATAAGAAACAAATATATATATATATATATTAATATTAAGATCCATTTTGTTAGATCTGGTGATCAATTTATTTGGCAATCGCCAATGGCAGTCAGCAGGGTTTAAGAACATCAGTTGTTCGACCTGTTAGTCAAATGCGTTTTGTTAAAATAGACTTTTTTTACTTTTTTTGGTCTTTTGGAAATTGTTGTTTGTGCTGTATTTAGACCCCTCTACCAAGAAATTTGTTTTACATGCACACGTATAAAAATTGCGGTTTTTATCCAACGCAATCATAGGTTTGAACGTTGTTTTCAATTTAGACTTTTATATATTTTTTCGTTTGGGCTTGTATTATATTTTCCTTCGTGTTTATATGATCCGTTCATCCTATTTCGACTCTTTAAAATTCAAGAGTCTATCCTAAATTGAGGTAAATTATATGGCCTTCCAAATACCGTTTCGATCCCTAACATCACTGAAGAGACATTAATTGTCGAAATCCGGATATGGTGTAAAAATTTTTGCACCTCATGTTTGTGGTATACCATCTTTTCCACAAGTTTATTGTTTTCTGTTTGGTATATAATTAATATTAAGATCCATTTTGTTAGATCTGGTGATCAATTTATTTGGCAATCGCCAATGGCAGTCAGCAGGGTTTAAGAACATCAGTTGTTCGACCTGTTAGTCAAATGCGTTTTGTTAAAATAGACTTTTTCACTGTTTTTGGTCTTTTGGAAATTGTTGTTTGTGTTGTATTTAGACCCCTCTACCAAGAAATTTGTTTTACATGCACACGTATAAAAATTGCGGTTTTTATCCAACGCAATCATAGGTTTGAACGTTGTTTTCAATTTAGACTTTTATATATTTTTTCGTTTGGGCTTGTATTATATTTTCCTTCGGGTTTATATGATCCGTTCATCCTATTTCGACTCTTTAAAATTCAAGAGTCTATCCTAAATTGAGGTAAATTATATGGCCTTCCAAATACCGTTTCGATCCCTAACATCACTGAAGAGACATTAATTGTCGAAATCCGGATATGGTGTACAAATTTTTGCACCTCATGTTTGTGGTATACCATCTTTTCCACAAGTTTATTGTTTTCTGTTTGGTATTTAATTAATATTAAGATCCATTTTGTTAGATCTGGTGATCAATTTATTTGGCAATCGCCAATGGCAGTCAGCAGGGTTTAAGAACATCAGTTGTTCGACCTGTTAGTCAAATGCGTTTTGTTAAAATAGACTTTTTCACTTTTTTTGGTCTTTTGGAAATTGTTGTTTGTGCTGTATTTAGACTCCTCTACCAAGAAATTTGTTTTACATGCACACGTATAAAAATTGCGGTTTTTATCCAACGCAATCATAGGTTTCAACGTTGTTTTCAATTTAGACTTTTATATATTTTTTCGTTTGGGCTTGTTTTATATTTTCCTTCGTGTTTATATGATCCGTTCATCCTACTTCGACTCTTTAAAATTCAAGAGTCTATCCTAAATTGAGGTAAAGTATATGGCCTTCCAAATACCGTTTCGATCCCTAACATCACTGAAGAGACATTAATTGTCGAAATCCGGATATGGTGTACAATTTTTGCACCTCATGTTTGTGGTATACCATCTTTTCCACAAGTTTATTGTTTTCTGTTTGGTATTTAATTAATATTAAGATCCATTTTGTTAGATCTGGTGATCAATTTATTTGGCAATCGCCAATGGCAGTCAGCAGGGTTTAAGAACATCAGTTGCTCGACCTGTTAGTCAAATGCGTTTTGTTAAAATAGACTTTTTCACTTTTTTTGGTCTTTTGGAAATTGTTGTTTGTGCTGTATTTAGACCCCTCTACCAAGAAATTTGTTTTACATGCACACGTATAAAAATTGCGGTTTTTATCCAACGCAATCATAGGTTTGAACGTTGTTTTCAATTTAGACTTTTATATATATATAGCAAAACTTTCCATACGCATTCACAAAAAAAAACCAAAAAAAAAAAAAAAAAAAACCAAACCAACACAATGGAAACTGTGGGTAGTCCTTGTATACGACAAAATCATCACGGTACATATTTTTCAAAATTAATTGAATACACTAAGAAGACAGTGACAGCAAACAAAACACTCGTGTGTATCATCATTATTTTGTAAAAATTATAATTGAAATTAAAAAAATGTTCGCAAAGTTAATTGAGTTTTCTGCGTATCCGAATGAAAGAATTGGGTGCAGAGAAAGACAAAAATGTATTAACTTTTTAATCTGTTCAGACAATTTAAGTTTATATTCTCAAATGCATCGAATCGTTTACTTTCAAATGTGTAGGTTTCTAGTGTATCTGATGAATATGTAAAAAGACACACCTGTCGTGATTGTATTGTACCTTTATTGACAAATAAATTGAATGTTCATACTCTTTTAAATCAGCTGTTCAATTTACTCTAAAAATGGTCACAGAGCAATATCATAAAATGTAAGATATCATAGCAAACATTAAATATAGATTCTTGATTATAGAGCGTCAGTACATTAAAAAAAATTCTGTAACAAAAAATTCAAATGTATCTGTACATATCAAAACGCATTGTTAGAAAATGACGATGCATTTCCACCTTGCAAAGGTACTATTATGACAATAACTATCTTTATATAAAAAAAAAAAACGAGCTCCTTGTTCAATATGCGTAGGCTTACTAACATGTATATCGTCTCACCACACTAAGAACTTTTTATAATACTTGTACTTACCATAACTGGAAACCTCACAGATCGCAACTAAAAAATGAAAAAAATGTTAAAATTAAGAAAATTATAAGATTATCTTCATACTTAACTTATCTTAACATTTTATAATAAAACTTTAAATGTTAAATACGGATATTTTTTATATACAATACATAGTTGTGAATTAGGATGACCATTTTGCCTTTAGAACAAATTTCAACAAAAGATAATTATGTTATTAAATTTCTAAGCTTAAAAAATAAATGGTCCTTCATTACAGCAAAAACAGTTCCTTTCACATTTATGTTTCATAACCTTTAATAGCAAAATAAGCAGTTTTTAGTACCAAAACTTACAGAATATTTATATTTTGATACACTGTACCCGATATATTAAAGGAAAACGCGTATCGGGGTAAAAGTGTTTTAATTCTACTAGTTGCATAGAACCCTTAATTACCATATCCTTTTTAATGACCATTTCTGAATGCGTAGATAATCCCTATATGCAAATCATGAGATATGATATGATTGCTAATGAGACAACTATCCACCACACATAAAATTAAGTGGTAGTAAGCAATAACAGGCTAACTTACAGCCTTACACAATCGGAAAACCAATACCGTATAGTCGGCTTTAAAAGGCCCGACATGAAAAATGTGAACAAACTTAAACGAGAAAGCTAACCGCCTAATTATATTAAAACAATTTATAAAAATACATATATGGCAGACATGAACCAACGAAAACTGTTTAAATTACGTTATGTTTAATGTAAGAATCTCGTAAAACCCTTCAGAACAAAGAAACCAAATCGAACAGGAACGAGACCCAGTACTTCGACAATTGAAGTGTCTTCTGGTTTGTATGCATTCCCCGTCATGCATATCAACAATCAATCAATTTTCCGCATTATAGGGAATAGGATACAATCTGTTAAGAGGTAAGGCTTATTTTTCCTGTATTTCTTTCGTTCACATGGTCAAAATCTTAAATTGTCAAATTCTACTAAAAGTTTTATATCAAAGAGTTTATATCATATGATAATAACATTTGTTTACAGTTTTATATATATCTATTAATAAAAATTATATTCAGTGCTACATGTTGCTGATAAATGCACTTTGATACAAAATTGCAAATCTAACATTTTATCAAATTTTGCATCGAAGGACTTCGCTTACCAAAATAATTACTTTGTTTCCGAAAAAAGCTGATACATATATTAACTTCAGAATTCCGGTTTTGGTTAATGATGTTCTTCTCATACACATTTTTTATATAAAGACTATAAAAATTTGCCCAAATTTCTTTTATTTGCAATTTGGGCTACCTTTAGACGTTTTTAATTTCAAATTGGTCAACCCATTCTATTGTTAGAACCTTAAAATATATATATTTTGCTGTAATTCTATGCATTTGAGTAAAGATTGAAAGATTTTTTAAAATTGATCCTAGGGTAAAAGAATTCAGGAGAAATTTACCGTACCTCAAATTTACAGATCAGACAACTATTCTGGTTACTTAATAATACATCGCGGGTACGTTTTTTGCGATCAGTTTAAACGGTCGAAACTACTATCAATAGAACCATAGTTGATTAATTAATATTAGTTTAAAATAGATTAATAACTAGTTACTACAAGTTTAACTCATTCAATGCAAAGTTGTAGACATTTCAAAGAGATGAAAAAATCTTTAAAGTATCGAATGTTTTGTTTGACAATCGAAACATTTCTGATTACATATGGAGAGCGGTTAGCCATTGCTGTTCCCTATATATAAATACATTTATAAATATTCCAGCATCTTAACTTTGAGAAAGACCAAATTTTCATCTTATTATTCTATTCATACGGTTTTGCCGTTATCATAGCTATTTAAAAATATAATTAACTACCTGCGATCGCGATAGCCAGCAGAAGACGTATCCCGTGAGCCATGTTGTTGAATGAGATTAGGAGTAGGAGTTTAGTTAATTTATACCGTGTTAACTCTGCCATGTGTTACAATACACTATTTGCACTAAATGTTTTGTTTTTGTGTTCATTTCTACTTATTGTGTAATAACATATGCAATTGAAAGAGTAAACTTCCGTGTTCTTTAAATTCAACATGAAAATCAAATCAGATGAAAAAGTAACATTTTCTTTTCTGCGTCAAATGTCGATTTAACATTAGCAGGTGATTGTATTGGTAAACACAACCTTAAGCTTGTTTGCTTTTTTCTTTTCTTCATTTTGCTGACTGTATAAAAATAAGGAGATGTGATCTGATTACCTAAGAGAAAACTGTCCACAAAATGCTGTGATTGTAAGAAAATCGTATGGGCTTCAACAATGATAAAAAGCCATATCGTACATTCACCTATAAAAGGCCTTGAAATGTAGACGACATTATTTGTGATAAAACAACGCAAGAAAAACAAATAAATAACAGACAGTAACCACTAACAACGTCTGAATCAGATGTAGATACTAAAGATGGGTTGCCTCATCAGATTGACAGGAAGCACAAAAACAAATCAGGTCAAAAGAAGCATGGTTCCGTTCAAAGATTGCTCGTGTCATGGATGGATACCCATACCTTTTCTTTTCTATCGTAGTTACTTAAAGCTATTTCAAAACCAAATACAGTACAACTACTAAATGAATCCCGAGACTTAATTATCACATATCAATAGAAATATAATCATCTTTTGGACTTCTCCCGTCTCAGTAATAAAACCCTTGCAAAATTGAGCTTCCGTTTTAGCTCGCAGGATGTATACGCAAACGCATCCGGTCAAAATGAACACTTTTAATCCGATGTCTCGTGCGGATACAGTACCACGCTCTCTACACGTTCAAAAAACATTACAAGAACTCTGTGAGTGATCTCTAGGTGGTCCGTTGCAAGGAAAACTTACTGTACCAGTGCAGCATATCCATATTTTACAGTGGCAGTTTAAATTGTTCACCCTTCATCCCGATTGATCCTTGACCTTGCAGATCCTACCTATTCCATTCTTTGTAAATCTGTTCTCGTCCTGAACTTGTTTGAAATATTTGCCAATGGACGTTAGGCAAATAACAATCAATCAATCTGTTGTCAGGATGTGAGGTTATTTGTTTTGATAACTGTATATCAATATATATTATTTAGTTATGTTTTCATTTATTAAAATTAAAACAAATTTTAGAATAAACTCACCATAGATACCGGGATTGAAATTTTGTACGCCTGGCACGTGATTCGTCTACACAAGACTCATCCGTGACGCTCGAACCGATAATATTTAAAAAAAACTTGAATACGGTGTTATTTTGATAGCATTTTAAAGCAAATTTATGTGAAGGATCAATGGGTTTACATAGATCGTATCTAAATTAACAGGCACTATAAACATCACCGTACAACTCAGTATGTGATATCCCCTTTGTAATAAGAATTCTATAGGTACAGCAAAACTTTTAAACAACATCGTTGTATCTAACAAAGGATTTATCAAAGTTGTAAGTAACTTGTGAAAAGAAAATTCCTGACTTAATGATTTACCCGTTATACATAGATTGCGATCATTGAAATCTAAAACGTCATTACAAACACGGACAGAACGAGCGGACTTTTGTTGTGTGAAAAGGACAGTGTTACTCAATATGAATATAGAAATATAGAAGAAGAATTCATAATTTTATTTTAAAAACGTGCGAGTTGCTCAATGTTATCAAGATAGTGAGACTTTAAGTTTTGAACGGTACAGTTATGAAGTCTGAAAAATATAAAAACGAATGCCCTTTTCATCAAACTTTAATAGTACTACAAACAACTGATGAGTAACTTGTCTCCATGTTTAAAGTACTTTTATGAATAAAAAAATATCATGAAACGATTTCATAGGATCTGGGTTCATTTACGCAGGATTACGCGCACTGCAGCCTCAAAATAATTTAACAAAATATAACAACCAACAATAACTGTTTAACAATAAGTTAAAGCACATTCCTTATTTAACGAACCATAAAGAACTACATAGGTAATTGCATATCTATGAGGAAAATGCTGACTGTTGACTGAATTGAATTGCTTTAAATCATTTATATACTGAAAAATGACTAAGGACAAAGAAGAACTAGTAACAGTTTAACACAACAACGTATGTATGTTACATATCAGGTAGCTCGTCATTGGTTATAATTGTTTATATTTAAGTGGTTTTTCCTTTATAAGAAGTGTTGTTGTCTCTGTTTAAGTTGTTAACAAATCATTAAGTTTCTGGAATGTTAGAGCCTGTCAAATGATATAGACTCTTCTAGAATGTTGACCTCTTTTTTTCTCATCTAATTGTGTAGTTAATTGCTATTTCATCAAAGTTTATCCATGTGTCCTTTCATTGTATTCTCTGGAAAATGTATGGAAGCGCATATGGTACACCCCTTGTAAAGTTATTTTGTTGCAAATAAGTCGGAATTATAAGTTAAGTTGTGTGTTATAAGCTGGAATCAAATCATCATGTGGAGTCAACTTGTCGGAATGATGAAGAAAAAATTGCATTACAATGTCGACTTGCTAATATAAATGTAATGACATAGTAATACGAAGTCGACATGTTGAATTCATCTTGTTAATTGATTATGTCGACAACTTGTTTATTTGATGATAAGGTAGAACCACGTGATCATTTTGGAAAAATATTATTCTATTTTTAAATCGATTTCCATATGTCGTTTGTTTAATGTGCTTCGGATGAGTGTCGCTATCCATTGAGTTCAAGTTCAAATTAAAGGTCGAGTTGTTGCTCAGAGTTATTTGGTATGAAAATGGGGAACGGCAGTCAAATATCAGAAAAATAGTACTTAAAAATAACAATATGTCAGACATAAGGGGGATATCCCCACACCACTTGGTCCGGCGTTTATTTTCCTTAGTTCTCAAACGGAAGAAGTATTATGATAAATTCGTAAAGGTTTCCAGGGCACCCTCTGTTTTGCATGAAATTATTGCTGCTGTCAGTGTAAAATTGTAATGTTGACTGTAAATAGTTTATTTTTCAGTAACATACAAACTTTAAATAATTCATGGAAATTTACAAATTTATCAGGACAAAATAGTTTTATTACCTGCAAAAAACTGAAAGCTTATATAAAAAGAAAATGTGGAATGATGGCCAATAAAACATCTCTCCATCACATACAAAATCACGGAGAACGATATGTCACTGGTATGGTCTTCAACAATGAGCAAAATCCTTACCGCATAGTAAGCTATGAAAGATCCCGAAATGACAAATGTAAAAAAAAAAACTAGAAACAGAACGATCTAAATGACGAAAACGCCGACGCCATTACCGACGACGGAATAAAGGTTTGCTGTGTCTCACTTCCGAGACATTAATGTCGCAGGTACTACACAAATCAAATGACTTGTACTTTGTTGTCAAAAAATGAAACACTTTTAATCAACTCACACTCAATTTAAAGGGAAACAACGGATAATATATGTTCCAATTGTCGTAACCACAATTCCGTCCTCTTTTCCTCGAGGATGACCTACTGGATCCTACTGCATTTGACCAAATAACTGGGTTTGTAATTTCACGAATAACACGACAGGTGACTCACGTTGAGCAGGATCAGCTTACTCTTCAGGAGCATTGAGATCTACGCCGGATTTTAATGAATTTATATTGGCCAGTAATATTGATCTATTGAGTTAGTCAGCTGCAACTGATTTTTATAGCTTTTGTTGTGCTGTTACACGGCGGTCCAAGGTTAGGGTTAGGATTGAGCGCTCACAGAAATGTTTAACTCCGCCACATTCTTCATATGCATATCTCAAGTCAAGAGCCTGAATTGTCGTTGGTTCATGTGTTTCATATTTGTTTTTCGTAAATTGTTTTGTTATAAATAAGGCCGTTACATTTCTCGTTTGAATGGTTTCACATTTCAACGTGGTGGCCTTTTATATCCGAATATACTTACGATTTGCTGAAGGCCGCACGGCTGCCTATGATTGCTTACATCTTCTTCATTTAAACTCTGGTGGCTAGTTGTCTCATTGGCAATCACACCACATCTCCTAACTTTATTCAGTTGTGGCGTCGGCGTCTTCGTCATTTAGAACGTTAGGTTTCTCTTTGAGTTATTTTACATGTCATTTCAGTTTCTTACTATGCGGTAAAGGTTTTGCTCATCTTCTTATTTTTATATAGCTTGCGGATCCTTTCCCGTGCGCTTTCTTTGTGTATACCGGTAATTCACTGCGATTCTACTCATGTACTTAGATACTAGGGAACAGGAAAATTTGGTTTATTTTGCAGTAAGTAAAACTGTTTTGTCCTGATCAATTTGTAAATCTCCATGAAGTGTTATAAAACTTGTATAGGAGTTATTCTTTCAGATCAAGATAAAGCATCTACAGAAAAAAACCTATTTTTTTTAAATTTTGTATGTTACAAAAAAATGAACTATTTACAGTAAACATTACAATTTAACACTGACAGCAGCAATCGCATGCGAGACAGAGGGTGCCGTGGAATCCCTCGAGAATTGATTATTTTACTTCTTCTGTTTGAGAACTATGGAAAATAAACGCCGGACCAAGTGGTGTGGGGATATCCCCCTTATGTCCGACATATTGTTATTTTTAAGTACTATTTTTCTGATATTTGACTGCCGTTCCCCATTTTCATACCAAATAACTCTGAGCAACAACTCGACCTTTAATTTGAACTTGAACTTATAGCGACACTCATCCGAAGCACATTAAACAAACGACATATGGAAATCGATTTAAAAATAGAATAATGTTTTTCCAAAATGGTCACGTGGTTCTACCTCATCATCAAATAAACAAGTTGTCGACATAATCAATTAACAAGTTGAATTCAACATATCGACTTCGTATTACTATGTCATTACATTTATATTAGCAAGTCGACATTGTAATGCAATTTTTTCTTCATCATTCCG